AAGCAACCACCCATCGAAACCCTCTTCTAACGGATTATGCACCTTCTTCCGGGAAAACGGGATCGGGAAAAGCCATGTGCGTGCGCTCGCAAAAAAAATCCAAGAAAGGGGCTTTTACTTGGGGTAGAGGAGAACAGAACATGTCATCACAATGGAATGTGCTGCTCATAAAATAAATCACCTTAGAGTAACCTTCAAACGTGAAAATGTGTGATGCGTGATTAGCTTACTCGCATGTATCTTAATTTTGTAGTTTGGAAGTTTAGAAGTGTGAAAATCTGGAAATATGCAAATGTCTTTAGCTTACTCACTTTTATCTTAACTTGGTAGTGTGGAAGTGTGGTAGTTTGGAAATCTGTAAATATGCAAATGAGTCTCTCATTACTCTCGGTTTATGTGTGGAAGTATGGAAATCTGGAAATATACAAATTAGTCAGTCGTTCGCCATCCAGAGCTTCGAACTTCACGTGAATATACGGCGTGGAAAGCATAAAAACTGATTTAAACGCCCCTTTTAGTGATCGATCAAGTTCTCATCGCTATATTTTGAACAATCGAATCTCAATCTATGGGCGTTTTTAAGTTATGTACCCTGAAGTTGAACAGATTGTTATTCAGCAACGGTAAGAGATCACCCGCGGCGATAATTTTACCTTTCATAGCTGTTTTAGAGCAAGTTAAAAGCGAGAAAGCTCTCTTTACCAGGTTTTTTCCCTTTTAACAGAGGCACTTATAACAACTATGCTTTAAGAGCCCAGCGCATACAATCTGAATGAATAAATAAGTCTTGATCGGTGCATGTGGCTACCAGTTGTGTTGCATCTGAATAAACAAACATGCGTAAAACGACAGTGCCTTACAATTCGTGGCTCGTTTCAAACTCTGAACTTATCCTTTTTTGTTCAACATGTAACTCTTCTCTTTCCTCATTTTTGTGGCCAAATTGTTTACTGATCTTGTAAACAGGAGCTGGTGTGTGAATTTTGCCATCATTAGTCATACTGGCGAGCTACACACGCAATCTTTTAACGAGAGATCTATATTTACTTCACAAAGATAACTTAAATAGTACACAAAAATTAGTAAAACTTTTACCCCATTCATGCCAAAGCTTAAATATCTTTTAAAGTTGTTTTTTGAACACGGTTTAATTTTTTTTTCTTCGTAGAAACTACTTGACCTAAATTTTTTTTAATTAAAACGTAGCACATTGGAAATGCAAGTTAGCAAGTACTTGATTTGATACCACATGTTTGATGAAAGCATTCAATTCTTCATTTGACCTGGTAAATTCCTGTTCTATGCCACAACCTGTAAATGGGATGACAATGGAACAAGTAGAAAGCAAGTTAAGACTTACTTCATCAAGAGACTTTGCTTCAGGAACTCTATATGCAAGTCGGGTAGCATTTAATTTGTCCAACTGTCAACAAAAACAATAAGGGAGACATGGCTGACAATCATCTCTTACATAAATGGAGTCACTTCAAAAGAAAGAAATAAAAATAATTTTGCCAATGATGTTTTTTAAAAACAATATGCCTGAATGAAACGTGTTTTACTCATACACACTTCCACACTACCAAGTTAAGATAAATGTAAGTTAAGGTAAAGACTTATTGGCATATTTGCAGATTTCTACACTTCCACACTTCCACATTGCCAAGTTAAGATAAATGTAAGGTTAAGACTTATTTGCATATTTGCAGATTTCTACACTTCCACATTTCCACATTGCCAAGTTAAGATAAATGTAAGGTTAAGACTTATTTGCATATTTGCAGATTTCTACACTTCCACACTTCTACACTGCCAAGTTAAGATAAATGTAAGGTAAAGACTCATTTGCATATTTGCATATTTCCACACTCCTACACCACTAAGTTAAGAGACACATTTTCACATTTCAAGGTTACTCTAAAGTGATTAATTTTATATGCAGCACATTCCATTGTGATGAAGTGTTCTGTGCTCTTCTACCTCAAGTAAAAGCCAAGAAAGGGGATGACTCCACTCCCGAAAACGCACATAAAAAAAATGGAAAATTTTAATGGAAAGATTATTCTTAGTTTTATTTAACTGGTTCCGCATAAGTGACCGTTCAATACAGGTGGAGGAAAATCCACATATGCCTTTAGATTTCGGTAAAGGGTGACCACGACCGCTTAATTGAGGTGAAATTTTCAGTAATTACAGTAAGTGTAGGACCAATGCATTTTATTTTTCCTTAGAAGAATTTAGAGAATAGAGACAATAGACCACAAATACCTGTGTGAGTTCAGATAAATTGGGTTTTTTTCTTTCTCTTTTGGTGAAGTAATGCGATATTTTCGCCCGTTTAAAAATATGTAATGCTCTTTTTTTGTAACAAAATGGAAACACTAGGTACACAGAGTGCCCCATCTTAACCCGCCCAGCCGAAAAAAGAACTCTTGCATGCTACACTGATCTGATGGATTTGTAATCACGTTCATTGCAAGCTCGAACGACTAACAGAAAGTCACGTGCTATTGATATCCATCATTTCAGGAGAAGTTGCTCGATCGTATTAGCCGCGAACATAACTCGAAGACACTTTTTTGTCTTACAGTCTCGACACAAATTAGTAAGAGCTGCGCAGGCTACTACAAAAAAATTTGAAAATATTTGCCTAGATTTTCCATCTTAGTGTTGCGCGATGGATCTAACGACTTCATTTGTAAGGAGGAGGAGGGTTGGGGGGAAGGGTATCTTTTGTGCTTATCTTAATTTTACGTTGTTTTCTTAGCTATCTGATCATCCATCCAGCTTTGACTTGTACAAGTAGATATATAAAGTGTCCTGTGGTTTGTCTACAATACAGGCGTCCTATTAGGATGACATAATGTTCCATCCGGCCGGCTAAGTTTGATGTAGAGTTAGAGTGTACGGTGAGGGGAGGTAGTGGGGAACGTCTTTATTTCTATTGCCCCACCCATTACTCCCTTTTCTCCTTTCTTCTGACCGTAGTTAACCCCCCCCCCCCCTTCTCCTCCTTTGGTGCACATTTCGTTCTCTCTACATCCCTTCCCTACTGTAAAAATCAAAGATGGCAGCACTTGCACGCCAAAATTACGCAATCTTGTGCTAGAAAGTGAACACGCAGATGGCTCACACCTCAGATGGCTCCGCTGAAGTATGCTCAGTAGATATCAAATGTTCCTGCGCAATATAATTTTCCGTTTCAATTTCAGCGTAATGGGAAAAGCGTGATCCAACTTTGAGTCGTAATCAAGCCCCGCGTAATTTGCGCTCCCACGACCTTATTCAGTGGTCACTCTTTGTTAGTCATGCGCAAAAGAGGTGTTGATTCAAGAGCTTCTTAGGTAATGAACAATGCGTCTGGTCTCGGACTGTTTCTGTGTTTTGGTGACATTTTTTAACGCAGTCGCCTAAAATCAAGAGAGTGTTCGTGGAGAAAACATCATTACAGCCAAAGGGAGTGTACATTATCGACAATTTCAACTTCCCACATGTGATTTGTTTTGATCCGATTTGAACTGGCATACATTAAGGTAAAGTCTCGGTTACTTAAATGTTGGGATATCAAATCAACCAATTTTGTATATACTTGCTTCATAAGTGCTCCAGTTTTTTTAACATTTGCTTGACGGCATCAATTCATGAAACAGTCTTTTAGCGGGAGCTGACCATCACAAATCATAATGGCTTTACTCAGACGTATCTTGAAAGGGGTAATGAACAGGGCAAGGCAGATGAATCAAAACCGAGCTAAATTGACCTAAATCAGCCCAAAAAAATTCACATGATGCAAAAAAAAAAAACCACTTGAGCAGGGAAAATTTTGTCCTTATTCAAAAATAGTCGAGAACTTTTTAGGTTGAGAGCGTGACTGTTTTTATTGCAAGAATATTCCTATATTTCACTCATGCGCAACGTGAAAAAATTTGCATTTTCACAGTGCTCACTGTGTAAAATTGGACCTGTGGTTGAACGTGAAGGTAGAAAACACATTTTCCTTTAACGTTATCTTCTCTATGCATGAAAACGAGATCTCCAACAGTGTTGAGGTGTTTTCAGCTTTTTAATAGGTTCCTCGGTCTGCCGATCCATAGTTTAAGTAACACCCGCTTTAAGACACTAGCCACGGTTTAACAAAAAAATTTGCATAAATCTGAACTAAACTTTAAAGGTCATCATGTATGTAAAAGCTCTAAGGCCTTGAAAGTTCAGTTTTCAATTCAGTTCTAAGATTTATTCTCATTTAAAGAGCGCCAGAATAATTTACTTCATGCTAAACTTTGATTAGCAGGCGTAAGAGTAAGTGAGATGTTGTTTATGACTATTGCTGTATTTGAACATGTCAATTATCTTATACACAACAATGTTTGGTCCAAACTACTTAAAACACTTTAACTAGCGTTCGTGACCAAGACAGAATATCTCCATACAATATAAAAACAGTATCGAACAGAAAGTGATTAGAATAGAGGCAAGTGTCATTTATGGGATTATTTGTGACATAAATTGATCCAATATGGTAAACTGTAACGACAATTACCAATGAGATCTTTGGGGTGAAGGTTTAAAGTGTAGGATGGAGTAAAAGTGTTGGGTGACTGGTGTCAAAATGAGCGTATGGAAATGACTTATATAGTCATCATTAACATATTTTTAACACCTTTCCTTTCCCTTTTTTCTTTTTTTATTACAAGCAACAGTTAATCCATCTTCCCCCTCACCTGTTGCGTTGGAGTCTATTTACCAAATTTCAAAGGGGAAGACAGTGGTAGCCAGATGAATCAAATGGTTCAAAAGTGCCACTTTTCAGGCATATATCCCAGAAGTTTTGTCCAAGATGCAAATATTTTTAAAACGATTCCTACTTACAGCAAATTGGAAAGAAATAAGGGCTGTGTTTATTCATGGTGATGGAATAAAATAATAATACTACGTCATTTGATTACTTGATCAAAGTTTTTCTTCAAAATTGTGTTTTCTATTAGAACCATCTGAAATAAATGGCTTCCTCCGTAGAAGAAAGACTAGAGAAAAACCTGGAATGTGGAATTTGCTTGGAATCATTCCAGGAGCCAAAAGTGCTGCCCTGTCAGCACACCTATTGTAAAAAGTGCCTTGAACGAATTATCTTTAGGGCTTCTGGAGGGCGTGTGCAGAAAATCACGTGTCCTGAGTGCCGAGTAGAAACGAAGGTGAGATGTGTTAACAATATTTTCAAACATTTTCCTACAATACTGTCGCTGTTTGGACAATAAAGGACAAATTGAATCGTTAGGTAAAACACCATTGTAGCGAACGCACCGGTAGATTGTCAAATTTCTGATATACGTGGTGACTCATATAACGGTAATTTTAAAATGATGACAAACAAGGTAAATGAAAATCGAACGAAGAAAGAAATGTTAGGACATACCTAAAAGTTGGGATACTAATATGAAACGACTGAGACACTCCAGGGAAAAATCTGGCTATTTTATTTTGGCGCGATAACTTGCTTAAAGATGCCAATAGCCCACAGAGATTGGAGACTAGGAAATCGCTAAAAGACGTACGTTGGAACAACCATTATGGCCCTTTTTAGTTAGAATAGCTTGTTCTAGACGTTCAGTTAGATAAATGAAGCGCGATAGTAGCGGCGGGATGAAAAACGAGAGAGGCGTATGCGACCCAATCCAAACCAAATTTTTTTTCACTTCTCCTCTCCTATCGCTCTGTGTGGTATTTCGCTCCGTTTTACTAACTGGACTCCTGGAACAGGTTAGAGTCAGAAAAGCCAATTTTATCATCCACTAAGCCTCGCTGCCAAATTACGGACTAGAAAATTTTAATGAGAAAGCAATAATTATGTTGTGTAAATGAGGCTGAGGGGGGCGTGGGGTAACTTTTCAACATCGTCATCGTAAGGGCTATTGCAATTATGCACTTACTGTAAAAATCATGTTTACTTTGACACATATATGGTAGAGTATTTTGAGAGAAAATTCAGACCTTTAGAATAACAATGTTGTATATGAGAACAAGAGATAAACTAAGAGAACTTATCTCCGTGACCCATGACATTTTTTAAAATTATATTTTAAATTTCGCGTCACACTTTGAAGTTGTTCGGATTCTCAAGTTTCAAGTTACTTTTTGAAAATAGCAACCGCTCATCATCGAAACAAACCAGAAATGTTTGCCCTCACCATTCGAACACTTACCTCTATTGATTTATAGCCACAGAGACGTATGAATCAATCACATCTTGATTAGAATGACTTCCCTCCTCTGATCTTTAATTTAAACTGGTTTGGTCGAGAAGAAGTTTTGCACGTGACAAAATAAGCTTCAATTAAGAAACCTATACAGATACCATCAGGTCTGAGATGCAATGATCCATGCATACAATTTAAGGTTGTTCATTTTTCTTTAATTTTTTTTTTTCATTTTTATCTTTTAGCTTCAACGAGGTGGCGTCGCAAGTCTTCCTTCCAGTTTTCTAATCAAGAGGCTCTTGGAAGTTAACAGTGATGCCCAACTCGATACATCCGCAAACTGTGAGAAACACCCAGAAGAACAAGTAGATCTTTATTGCGATTGTGGTGAACCGATATGCAGAGCATGCGCAGTGATAGATCATCGTCTCCACTCGAATCAACCTTTGAGTAAGGTATTTGCTCGTGAGAAAAAAATGATAGCAACACTTTTAGAAAAAGCAAAACCACAAATGTCTGCTTTAAAGGCAGAAATTTCGTCTAGAGAGGGTATCGAAGAAGCATTGCAACAAAACTGTTCAGATATTAACGAACAAATTGAAAACTTCGTCAATGCTAAAATTGCTCAGTGGGAGAGTAAAAGGGAAAGTTTGAAGAAAGATCTGAGAGAAATGTCCGCATCAAAGGTTGATAGCCTGAAACGACGAAGGGAAGCACTCCTTTTGCTAGTAAGTAGAGTAGAGAATGTCAAAGACATTATCAAGAAATGTGGCCGTAGTTGTGAAAAGAAAGTGGAATTCTTGCGTAAGAAAAGTCAGTTCGATGAGCACCTAAAAGAATTAAATGCAACTTCTCAACATATTCAGCCTTGTAATAAAGTTACCATTCAGCTTGAAGAAATCCACCCCCTGAAGATATATCCCAACGGACACGACGTCTCTAATCAGGCAAAAATTCGACTTCTTGAGTTTGACAAACAAGGAAATCGTGTTGGACCATCCGCTAATTCAGATTTTATTGACTTATTTAATAACTGGATAATGCTTTCTTGTTTTTTATTTCTTATGGGCCTAATCTTCTTTTTCAAGTGTCTTGATTTGGGTAAATGAAAATGACCGAGAAATGCACGAATTTGCAGCATGAGGATCCTTTTTTTTATTACTACTAAACATGTTTGGACTCCAGAATCTCAATTAACGTCGAAGGAGATAAGAAATATGTTACACTTACCGGTGTCAGCGTGTACATAAAGACGAACATGCCAACTTATAAAAAGACTAGATGCATCAGGACGATTCACAGGTAGGAACTGAAACAAATGTATTCACCAATCAATGTGGAACTTTCATCGAAGCCCGAGCCATGTTAAACAACTGCAAAAATCCTACCATGCGAACTCATCTTAAGATGCAAACATTTCAAAAGCAAGTAACCGAAGACGTCTTTTGGAACTTAGAAAACGGTTCTGTGATCTTTATATGCCACACCAACTTTAGGCGACAAATTTGAATAATGAACCGAGAAAACGCAAACCTGATGTAAGAAATCTAAAAACTTAGGTAAAAAGTGTAGAAAATCGTAATCATGAAGTAAGATTTTCCACAAGGTTGTGACGTTAATCATCTTAATGGACCTCTCTAGCCTGAAAGTTTTTTTTTCCCGATGGAAGTATGGAGGGAAGTCTTCGTATGTCGTTTATGAATTATGCGTGCATATACACTTGGTAGGACGATATTTGAAGGAAAGAGTTTTCTAGAGTATTAAGCTAAAGAGGTCTATTGGATATCGATCTGTCGAGGCAGAATTATCAATTTATTACATTGATTATACAGTCTCACAAAATGAACACGTGATCATGCAAGCTCGTGTAAGCGGGGGAGGGATGGGTAAGGACTCCTCCCCCTCTCTTTTAACATTTTTCAATGTTTTGATAGTTTTTAATCATAAATGAAGAGCAGAAGCTTTATACTAGAACCACGATCAGTGGAAGGAAAAAGTCTTGGGACGTGAAAATTTTTTCTTTACTAACTGTATTGTTGGTTGTTACCAGGATAATTTTTGCCCATCGTTGTAGAATTAATTGAACTTCTTATCCATTGCATCACGCAATTGAAGTAAATGAATTGATTAGTTTACCTATACATTCATGTTTTCTGATTTTCGTGAAAGTTTTCTTTATTTTTACTTCAATTATAAAAGCATGGACTATCTCCCGAATTGAACGGTATGACTACATTTATGTTTCTGTTCATCGAACTTCATAAACCATGCAAAAGGCATCTTAAGTATATGGTCAAGTTATGACCTTGCTCTCCGAACGCCCAAGTGTAAGCACATTCAGGGCATCGAAAGGAAATTAGTACGGGGGTAGAATGAGGTGAAAATGAACTAGCTTTTTTTTTCGTTTGTACGTGTTTGATTTGGGTAATTTCATGATAAGAAAGATATAACTTCGCGATGTATCATGGTACTAATTTTTATCAGTTTTATGTGATGGTTATGTACTGGCTTTTATTGTAGCTGGATTTTCTCCATGCCAAGAATGAACTATAAAGCAGTTCAATCAGTGATGGAGAATAGTGATGTTAGAGGATCTTAAACCTTTAACTCATACGAGTGACCAAGACAGAATTTCTCCTTACAATATCAATACAATATCAACCAGATAAGTGATGAGAATAAATATAAAAATATCAATTTGGGGATAATTAGTTGATGCAATACTGAATTCTCTAAACTAACGTTATAAGAATTGTACGGTTGACAGTAAGGAGAATTATAATATTAATCTGGGAATTAAAGGGTTAATGGGTTTAACCGATAGCCAGGAACAGACAAAAATTGACAAATTTAAATCGATAGTTGTAAAAAAAGTTCACCGCAAAATACAACTTTTGATGACAACAATGGAAAAATATCAACCGTTAGTCGTTAAATGGCCAAACTTTCGGGGGGTGGGTGGTGGTTTGGGTTAGACCCCATCTTAACAACAGGCTCTCGGAGTGACTGGCTTATAAGTTTTCGTAACTGTATATTATCATCCTTGAATCAAATGTAAAGGTCATGAGATAGAGGAAGTGGTCACCATTTATAAACTACCTTTTGATTGTGAAATAAAGTCTTCCCGTCATACCACAGTAAATGTGGATAGAACAGTGTGGAGAATATGGATGCTAAAGTAAAGATAATTCACAGTTAAATTTCGTGCTTCTTTTAGTTATGGAGTGGCAATATTTTGTGTATATTCATATATATTCATTTATTTTTTTGAGCTTCTTTAACAGATCTTTTCGTTCAATCTCGAGCCCGTTAATATCATCACTATTAAAAGACGGTTTTCAATATCATAGGCGATTAGGGGAGCAGTCAATTGAGCTTTGCTCATTGAATGATTGGCGGTTATATATTGTCATAATATTTTCAATAATAACAATTGAATAAAACGTTTACATAAAAGAACGTGCACGTTTTTTGTTTGTTTGTTTGTTTGTTTTCGTTTGAGGAGGGATCGCGTAGTTTTCAGGGGCAACGGAGGGAGATCAGTCGTTGTTAGCATAATATAAAAGGATGAGATCAATATCAGTATCTGGGCAACTGCCCACTTACCCCTCCCCTGACCCAACATTAACCCTAACTTGTTATCAATAGACTGTTGTTGGGTCAGGGGAGGGGTAGGTGGGCAGTTGCCTAGATACGATATTGATCCAAAGGATGGACTTTAGAAATTGATTGCTTACCAATCCTCCAGCCCTCCGCCTCCACCCCTCCCCTCCCCCCCTTCCCTCCCCCCCTTCTCCCTCACGGTAATTAAAAAAATACACTCGCTCGTGAGTACTTCATGAAAATCATTCCATTTCGGAATGATAATAAATTAAAAAATTCGAGATAGTCTTTTTTGGAATGGAATGAGATGAGGGGTTGCGGGGGCGGGGGAACTCCGTCAGTAATTCAGTGAGCTCTGTTAAGCCGTGGACAGAACGAAGCACTAAGCTTATTTGTTTTCAAGTTTAATCGGGAAGCTTCCTTAAGCATTAAAACATAACAAAAACATAACAAAACACGAAATAATAAAAATGTCTCACAATTAAACGCTAATATTTCATAAAAGGACTGAACACTTACATACTAGAGCTGTCTAAAACAAAGAGCAAAACAGCAAAAGCATAAGAGCACAAGTCTAAAAGAGTCCGGCTTTTGTTTGGTGGTTTCTGTTTCCAGTGCTTTATTCACATGGAGTCTTTGTATATGGTGACTTCGATGTAATTGATGGTGTACCTTTCAGTGCTTTTATAGCGATACAACTCAAAGGTCAGCCCTTTTCTCAGGCTCAAGGTATCAGAATAACGAGCGACAATCTTGTGGCCGTCATCTATGGCGCAGTAGGCAGATCCAAACATCTCGGAGGGCTTGAACGTCAGCTCAAACTGATCTGGGTTATTCTTTGAAGTGGAAGAAACAGTCGCCGCAACTTCTACATTTGGGTTTCGCAACTTGGCTCTGGCTGACTCGCCTTCAACAGCTCGGTAGGGACCAAATTTGGCGTAATCGTGGTTGGGATCCAAGAGCTGAATTCCAACAGAAAAGTCCCCGTCGGATATCATATAGGACATCGGGTCCCGGGGCTTCTGAGGCTCGGGCAAAACGACGCCCACCTTCATCTTTACAGTGATGTCCTCCTCATTACTCAGCTCGCCGCTGGGAATGAGAGGAACTCGCAAGATGTTCTCCCAGTCGGAGGAGTCGGGTAAAATATCGAGATTCAACTCATTCCCTTCCTTAGGAGAGTTCCACTCTGCATTCTTACGCAGCCAGTCGGGGAGCATGAGGCGATGGTAGAGCAACTTGGATTGTTGTCGATTCATGGCTTTTTCCGCTTTGCAAAAACTGGGAGAACTGGCAACACCTTCAACTTATCTCGAACAGTGTGTTTGACTTTGCTCACACGCGAATTTAAACCATTTGCAAAGAAAGCAGTAGGTGTGGCTCTGACGTCAATTGTTTTGAACGTTCGTTAGACTGTATTTACTGAAATTAAGCTCAAACATGTGCATTGTATCTGGGTATCTTTAACTCATCAACAGCTGATCTCTTGTACGATGCATCAGACACTTGCTGATTGGTCGAAAAAATCATGCGACTATCGATATGACCTCAAAACAATAGCAACGCTACGACTCCTTTCCTCGGGAAAGTCCCTGTTGTATTACATTATCAACTTCCTGTTTTTCTGAGAATGTCTCGCACTGATAAGTGAGCAAAATTTAAATAGAAAATATTTCTTTTACTAACAACATTTTCTGACAAACAGTTACCATAGACTTCCTGTTTTTCAATGACACCACCGCGTGGGCTGTGTGTTGATTTCTTTGAATCAAAACCGTCTTTATTTCTGGGAATTATTTCAACTATTTTTTACAGTATTTCAGTATTCATCAGGGGGAGAAGATTTAAACTACATTTATAACCAATGAATGTCATAACATAATTAATGTCAAATTATTTAAAACATATGGAAAGTAGTATACAGTTTGCGTGTTTGAGGGCATTTATATATTATATATTTATTATATTACTTATATACGGAGGTTACGAAGACTCACATGTCACATACGGAAATTTCCCTTACATTGAACTGCTACACTCAGTTTGCTCTACAACATTGGAAAGGAGATGGCAGACTACACCCTTTTGAAAATTCGTGCTCGGGGCTGTTCAAAGTTTATTTTTAGTTGCACTGTTACGCCACAACTGGTGTCACGTTCGGAAACACTTACTAAAACAATGACCTACAGTAAAAAATTGATCGACCGTGAGTCAAGCCCACTTGAGTTTGTAAGATGTGAAGGTGGAGCTTTCTGCTTTCTTCAAGTCGGACGCAGCAACCTGAAATGTACCTAATGACTAGCAGGAAAATAATAAATACTTTCATAATAAGCCTGGTTTGCAATCACTTTATCACTTTAGCGTTAGCTGCTCTTGTTTGTTTATCAACTGAATACCAATACTCCAGTGTCATATATTAGCATATTATGAAGTGTTTTTTAGATTAAGCAATGTATTGGATTGCGACAGAGTTAAGTTCGCTACCGCAAGATAAATACTATCTTGCCTAAAACTATTATGAAAAAATGAAGTATTGGATTCTTAACTCTATGGTTAAGAACGACTCAGTTAGATTAATTTGCATCGAAAAAGTAACATGTCGAATAACATTGCACTTTATTAAGAACATGCAAGAAATCGAGACCCCAAAAGGGTTTCTTCAGAAAACTTTCTTTACTCGATGGTGCATGGAGAGGAGGTTTTCTTCGCTTTGGCTGGGTCAGGCTTGCGTGGGCTGTACTGTAGTATCACAAAAGAGACCTGCTTTGTTTGTCCGAGAAACTATCTTGTTACCTACTGATTAGCGCAACTTGAAAACGTATCGTACTTGGCATTTGCAGTCATTGGAGAACATGAACTCCTTGTGGAAATTTTAAGTTTACGTTCACTTGACGAATTTTCTCCAAAAAGTGCCGCTGATTTATCCTTGTTTGCTTACGTGCGCTGCTGGATTTCCTGTTGTATAGCACCCATGTTTGGGTAGGTGGAAAGTGAATAGCATTTTGCTCTTGTTGACGCCTGAGGCATGCAACACAATGTAAGAAAATATCTCTCAGCCGACAATTGACTGTTCTCAACACTTTAATCCTCGAAACTAAACTCTACACGCAGATGGTCGCTCTAGCATTCGACGACTAAAAACACACACCTCGAAAAACCTCGTGGTCGTTACATACTCTATGTAAGAAATACCGTTCAGTCCTTCTCTTAAAACAAAAAATACAATCTAACCTGCATTTAGCGGTCAACCACGTTGAATGCAGGTTGACCGCTTAATATGATATTTAACCAATAGAGAGGCCTTGACTGTGCTCTGTTCTGTTGTAAAGGCAGTAAGGAAGCGGCTAGAGGACGAAAGAAGATGGAAACACGAGACGTAGTCGAGTGATAACGTGATTGCAAACTAGGCTTAGCACTGAAGTATTCATTATTTTCGTGCTTGTTATCAGGTAAATTTCAGGTTGCTGCATCCCACTTTAAGAAAGCAGAAAACTCCATTCTCACATGTCTGGAATAAATTGTTAATAAACACAAATAGGCCTGACTCACGGCTGATCAATTTTTTACTGCAGTTCATTGTTTTGGTATGTGTTTCCGAACGTGACATCAGTTGTTGCATAACAGTGAAACTAAAATAAACTTTGAACAGCGCCGAGCATAAATTTTTCAAACGGATGTGGTCTGCCATCTCCTTTCCAATGTTGTAGAGCAAACTGAGTGTAGCAGTTCAATGTAAGAAAATTTTCCGTTGATGCCAGATGGTCCAAACTTGCAAAGCGGGGGAAAGGCGTGGTGTATTTTGTCGTGCTGTGAGCGCGGGCTGCTTGTAATTCAGTACAATAGATTGGCAAAGGGTTTACAAGTGACAGTTCATTGAGCCAAAAATAAATACGTGGTGCGTGCATTTTACAGAAAGGCAGGGTACGGTGAGATTTGAATTTTTCTCTTCTAAATTCGTGACGCAAGAAACACTGTTTAAAGTACATATGACATGTGAATCTATGTAGCCTCCGCATACAAGTAACCTCTTGAGTGGGGAGAAACACTCGATACTGATCACTTATCGTACAGAACCTCGTGAAAAAAATCTAGTTACTTTGATTTTGGGAGATAATTATAGATCAAAAATTGCAGGAATGATTATTCTTAGTTTTATTAATGTGGTTCTGCTTTCAGCGACCGTTCTATACAATTGGAAACAATAAAAACAGGCCATTGGAACTCCGTAACGGGTGACCGCAACCGCTAACTGCTTAGTTTGTTCCTTGACCTTGCTTTTGACGACCCACACGAATGTTCTTGTTTTGACCAATGCAGTCAGAGATTGACTCAGTTGAACGGAAACATTATATTATGATTTAGTACTTTATTGTTTAGATCGAAAGTCTCGTGAAAATGTTTGGTTTAGCATTCTAACAACGGATATTTGATCTGCCAAGGTCAGCCAGCTGGCACGCTTACCTATATCTGTCACTAGTGAATATATAATCTTGTTCTTTTAAATTTACATGGAAGAGAGTGGAGAGAAAAGAGAATAGAGAAAATAGAGAAAAGAGAAGACTAGAAGAATGTAGACAATGTGTAGTAGGGGAGAATCAGAATTCCGCAATTAAAGAAAAAGTGTCCAGTGAGAATCAGAATGAGAGAGCCTAAGAGATTAACCAGAGTTACTCAGAATGAAATAAGCTTGGATGTAGGTGGAATTGTGTACTGGAAAACTGAGCGATTGAAGAAAGCAGAAAAAAACACTTCAAGAGTCTTGGTGCCTTTCGCCGGGCGTGGTGTGCTCGATAGCTAGTTCCCCCTAACATTTAGTCGCAACTACATTATTGAGCTCCAGAAAGTGTCAAGTCGAGAGTATCGCTTTCAGCAGTATTGTTTTTGTAAAATTGTTCTGTCACGCGTGTCACGCGTCTACCACACAGTTTAGCATTGTAGCAAGGTATCATGGTATTGATTTTCCATGTGATTTAGGGATTGTCATTGTATTGTCGTGCTCGCTGGTGAAAACCCTTTCTCGTTTCACCGCGAAAATTTACTTCGAATAAATCTGGTTACACTGATTGATGAAGGATTTACGTCTCTTTTGTTACGGTGAGCAAACTTATGGATCAGGGTCCAAAGGATCAGAACAAAAATGTTGCATTTTATCGATCATTAAACTCCGGCCTTAACAAACTACTTATTTCTACATAGATTCTCAAGGTCTCAGCGTTTATTTGCGGTGAAGATTGCATGTAAATAGAATCTCTTAAATAGCGCTGTTACAGTAGTGTTTCTGCTAAAAGTACGTTAATCATCCCGCAGACCCAGAGGCAGTATATCGGCGAAAATCTGTCCTTTGTTCTCCGACGATCTGTTATGAAAAATCAACCTTGTACAAACATGGAAAAAAATTACACTTCATTTCACTTCAAACGCTGGACTCCGATTAAAGAAACAGCTGATCGATGAATAAAGCGATTAAAGGCGGGGGGCTTTTCAACAAGGAAATTTGAGCATCATACCACAATTTTTTATCGATTTACCGGCATAACAACCTACGCAGGATGTTGGATGAATACGAGAAAAGTTTGTAAATCAATAGCCACAATTCAATTTGTAATTGTGGTTACTGGTGCAATGAACGATAGGTTTTTGACCAGTCAGGGTTCTCGTAGTATTTCAGTTATTTCACAAGGCAGTAATTTGTCAATTGGCGTCAAATCAATTTCCACCAAACCAAATACATTTCGTTGGTCCCTTGGGAACATTGAAATATTCCCGGTACACGTGGATATTAAACTCCTCGGGCTTAGCTTCTTGTGTTGCTTTAATATTTTTTAAGTTCTGTAGAATTTTTGCCAAGCCACATAGAGCTATTTGACGATAATCTTAGAAACAAGTACCTCAACAAAGGTAATTATCATATGGACCAACAAGAACTTACTCAATGTGAAACTCCAACTGTCAGTAGCGCAAGGAAAGGCAAGTGACCGGTTTTTGTTTTGTATCTGATTGGTTCAAGAGTGGCACGAGTTCTCTGGAACCATCTTAGAGTGAAGTAAAGAGAAAGTGGTTTCTGGAGTTATGATTTGCGAATATACCTTTGATGCCTTCAGGCACCAGAGGAAAAACAAGCAAGCAAAAGAAAAAAAAGAAGAAAAAAAAAATCTTGTCGTGTCGTTGGGTTTCCCTATATTATGTTGGATGCTTATGGAATTCACATGGAAGTCTACATGTAAAAGATTGATTCAGTTACACGTTAACCATAACACTGGTGGCAAAATTGACCTATAGTTTCGTAATTATAACTTTTCTAATTGTTAAGCAGATCCCACAGAAAAGGATTGAAAAAATATGTGTACGTTAAAGCAATTGGAATTTTCACTTTATTACTTGATCGTCCGAGGGGCAATCTGCAATATTAAAAGTTGGTTTTTCTCTCTAAAAAATTTTTTGTAATAAGTCTTCCACACCCGAAAGAAATACGAAACAATAAAAAACTTAGGATTGTTCAAATTTTTGTATACGCAACATTCTCAAACGTTTGTTTTTCTTTCTTTTTTTTTTGTCATATTTGGTTCTTATTTTGTATTGTTTGCTTGTTTTCTTTTTAGCAGTAGGATCTGATACATGTATGTTCAGAAACCATATCACGGTGGGGGTTGACCTTTCGTATAAAACGATGGACGTTCAATAGGAGGCAAATCAAGCATAGTTTGGGAACTTCATCTGAAATAGTTTTCCTGGCGGTTAAGTGCCACTCAAATCTAATCTTGCCTGAAATTAGGATGAAAAAATAGAGTATTGGATTCTTAACTCTATAGTTAAAAAACATTCAGTTAGTTCTGACCTTTAGTTGCTGTTCTACCAGTAGCTAATTTTTTTTGTTCTGAGCTATTTTAAATTTTTTTTGTCCCACTAACTCGACATGCAGGAGGTCAAAAGGGTGTTTATCTTAAAAAAAAAAAAAAAAAAAAAAAGGTAAAAAAAACCAAAACAAAAGACAGACTTGTTGACGGTATTTTGCACACGTTACGAAATTTGTCTCACAAATAACTGAAATCGATTTTGTGATTATCTAACTTATCCCAAGTAAAACGAAAATATAAAAAAACATATTGGACATAACTTATTTAATGTTCTTTCGGTCTCCCGTATGGTTAGACGGGTGTCATAGTTGTTGCAACTCGTGCCGCTGGTTTGCCATGCATCCCACACAGCTGGAAAAGTTCAAGAACGACCTGTTACTGAGCCTTTAAAGATTTCCTTTGGTGTTGAAAGCATCAGTAGGAATTGAAGTCGGCCTAGAGATTAATAGCGATTCTCATTCAAGGTAAGGATAGTTTTTTAATCAAACGCCCCCGCGCTTGCAGTGCAAAATATTGAGTTCAATCTGTTAGGAAATATTTAATGATTATGCGGATTTTTGATTCTGTGTTTTTTGAATAAACGGTATGTATTTCAACTGTACATCGTGCTCCGGAGAGGAAATTTGACAATTCTAGATCTCTTTGGTTTATTTTCACCTGAGACCAAAAGAAAATATCATTAATTCTTTTCGTCTACGAATTCATCCCATATCAAATACAAATCAGGAGCATAACTTTTTTCTGTTCTTTTGTTTTTGTTTTTGTTTTTGTTTTTTTTAGAGATGGCTTTCAAGTACACCTACATTTTTTTCCTGTTGTGTGTGTTATCTTTATCAGCCCAGGGCAAGCACATAAAGAGTAGACCAGAGAAATCGCAAGGTATATTATTCTAATCGTCTTTCCGTTTGAAGTGAAAAATCTATTGAAAAACGTTTTAGCTCGTTCTCTGGGAGAGGTTAAAATTAATTCTACCTGTGGCAGAAAAAAAAGGTCTGCACTGCTCACTGGAGCAATTAATCCCTTGTTACATAGAGCAGTTCATCTTTCCGTGCTGATAAATAGAGAATAATACATTTGGCAAATCTTCCAGCTGTCGATTTTCGTTCTCAGCCGCGAGAGATGCCATTACCAAGGCCACTGAATACGTAACTTTCGGTTTTTATTTTCGTATTTTGGTTTTCTTCTCCTTCAAGGAAAATTTCAACGTCACTGTCTGCAAGCAACACGAATTTTTCAGTGTCTTAGCAGCCTTAATCCGAGAAAATTCTAACAAACAACCACGGATTGAGGGTGGTAAAGGCTTTGCTGTTTATTCATCAACCTGACCAATCTCGAGCCCAGTTTCATTTTGGCTCCTTGTCAGCGGTGTAGTCACCGAATAATGACCTCGAGTGACGTGTCAGCAGCTGATTGGCGATATCAAACACACATGGTAAAAAATCGCATCTATTCACGTGTGTTGTTACGGCTTTTCTCAGGGCTGGAAATTTTTGTATAACACTGAAGTTTATATGATAAAAGTTATTATCAAGAAATTCCATATCTTTGCGCGCCCGTGCTTTAATTAATTAATTAATTTATTTATCCAGGGGCATCCAATTCAGCAGAGCTAGTTTAAATGGAGCCCTATTATTATCCTCTATTTATCAAATTTCTCTTTTATAACACATGTTATGGATAGTCAATTCAATCGGCTGTTCCCTCGCTACCGAGTGGTTCAAGAAATTTAGTATACAACTGATTTTTAACAGTTCGGGCCATAACCATTTCTGGATATCGGTTTCGAGCTTTGTGATTGGGTGAGATCAAAACCAAAACAAAGCAAATTTGGCCGAGAGGTGCTGGAAACAAGAAGACGCTAATTTTTTTTTTTTTTTTTTTTTGTGGCGGCCATGTTGTAATGCGGTAGTAAGCTGAAACAAAATTCGCTAATAAGGACTAGAAGTAAGGTACCATTAAAAACATTCGTTTATTTCAAACATTCAACATGCATGTCCTCGACATTCTCGCATTCTGGAAGAGTAAAGCGGATTCTTTCTAGCACAAATTCTTTGTAACGCTGTGGTCCTTCCACCAAGAGTGTCACAGGAATAAAAGCTCCTCCGCCAGCCTGTTTGTATCTGGAGAACTTCTGGATAGAGCTTGGCCTCGATGTTTCTGCCCGTTCTCCGTTGATTTCCCTATTTTGGGTTACAAGAAAACCAATTAAATAAGGTTGAACCAAATAACGCGCACTGATAACAATTGGGACGAGTGAGGTGTGAGATCCCGGAATCGGGACAATTTCATTTCTCTCCAGTATAGGTCGAGGAAAGACAATATCTTGCTTCTTTCCGATTTTTAAATAGACATTATCAATTTCAGTCCAGCAAGCCTTTACGAAAAAGTAACAGTAAAGCAAGAAAAAAGTAACTTACCTTCAATTCCTGGTTATTTTGCCACATCGAAGCAAAGCATGCAGCTGTATGTTGAGAAAGTGCTGAACCGTGCCGATCTGCTGCCCTTTGACATCTCCTAAAGTGTATGTCTTTCTCTGCGATTTGCTGAAAATCTGGACTTCTCGTAGAGCCTCTGGAATGCGTTCCATTTCTCGTGGAAGAAGACAAGCCAGTGCATGCGAGTCATACGTGTCGTCGTCTTCACTTTGAATAACAAGCGGTGTTCCACGTGGAGCTTTGATCTTGAAATTATGATACCTGGAAAATAAACGCCAATAAATACATGAGTGGGATAAAATAAAATCAAGTAGTCACAATCTATATTAAGACGAATACGCATGATCGAATTCAATGCAAGAATGCAAGAGAATCATACAAGGTATTTTGCGCGCTATTGATCGATTCGCGGGAGAATCTAGGTCTCAGAACACTACAAATTCGGTCTTACAGCTTTTAGTCAGCAATAATATGTCCTTTACAATAACCCTTTGATTTGAACACTCTGTATAGAAAGTTTGTTTAAGTAATCACTGCAAAATGTGAAAGCACGAGTGGTGCACGAGTTTCATATTTACAGACAAGTCCCTTGTGGTTTTAGACGAAAATTTCACTCTCATCAGTTCGTGTAGTTAAACTCTAACCTTTTTTTCCGGAATGCTGTAATAGAGACACTTCGGCAAGGCTTTCCACCAATGTGATTTCTTTATTTTCATCTTAATGCCGCTCTTATCGCACATTTCCCGGATACGATACCTAAAGATGTGAGAGCTCAGTGAACGAATACCTCTTTGTTTTATGTTTGCCCGAAGGAGAACTTACTAGCTGGATAATCACATTTATGTGTTAGATCAGTGGTTTCCTGAAATTATTTTTTAGTGTGCATTCGCCTTGGCTGAATGAATCTCTCTGATGTCAAGATCGACATTGATTCGAAATTTCATCCAGAGCTCCGATTTAAAAGATTCTTTGTTTGTAGCACTGACCCAGGTCCGTGGCAGATTTGAGCCACAAAGACGACAAAGTGTCTCGAGATACTGAATGCGTTCATCCATGCTGTTGGCTTGATCTGAAATTCACAATGTAGAATTATAAAGGCCGATAAATAATTGTCCTTTTACTTCAAATTGGTCGGCCACGACGTATGGTTAAAATTTATGGTTTACACGATACTCCGATGGATCTGAACAAAGGAATCCGTCTAGTAGTTTGCACACTAACAGACTTTCAGCATTCGTGCACTTGAGCAAAAACCTCGTGCACTCGATTGGAATTTTGACAAATTGGAAGCAAATTTATTCTAGTTTTTTAAAAGATTTTTTTAGGAATCAAAAAAAAATGTTGCATACCTGAAAACCTCAACTAAATAGAGGTTATTCCTCGATCGAGCCCTTCGCAACATGGACCTCCACCCGACTTTTCATCTGAATTTTTCCTTCTCGTCATCGCGACCACCATCAGTTCTTTGCTTGTTGTGTGTAATTGCTTGTCTTCTGTAATTTTGCAAGGTTTCATGGGATATGGGTAAGGAACTAGGTCGATAGGGCTCGAATAAAGTAATGAGTGAGTTTCCTCGATGTCCCACTACGACATCCATGTTGGTGACGTCATCAAGTATCCAGAAATGGTTATGGCCCGGACTGTTTATGAGAAATCTTTCGCTGTTTTACTTTTCGTTGATTTTTTTCTGTTTGTTTAAAGAGGAGGTATCTAAATCGTGGTTGAAATGGTAAAAATCTAACTAAATAAAATATTTCGATTTGACTCGTTTTCTCAGGGAAAGCGTAAACTGATTGCAACAGTTCTTGTAAATTTGAGTCGGCAGTCATTTTTCGGATCAATATCAGACATATCAGTATCTGGGCAACTGCCCACCTACCCCTCCCCTAACTCAACAACAGTCAATTGATAACAAGTTAGGGTTGAGTTAGGGGAGGGGTAGGTGGGCAGTTGCCCAGATACTGATATTGATGCCATTTTTCTATAGTCTCTCCTTTATTCTCTATTGGCGATGACTGTTACTCCTTCTGTTCCCCCACCCACTGGTCCCTGGTGGGAACCTTTAGCAAAGCACGACGGCGACGGAAACGAGGACATCAAATCAAAGAACAATAGCTCAGCACGTGCGTTTTAAAACTGTGTACATTTCTTAGCCGTTCTCTGCAAAATAATAGGGACCTGAAGCAGTCAGGACGGCAACGCCAAGGAAGAGTTCGATTAAAAAAATGAATTTCTGCCTTTAGTTAGAATTCCAAAAATGGCTGCATGTGTTCACCGTCTTATACGACGCCACATGAAGTTGAAGGTGTGGTGAGTTTGCCTAAGATCCCCAGTTTGCGTGGTCCGAGAGAGGAAACCCCGACGGAAAATTATTTAAGTTTTCATTTGGAACTCAACGCCGCACTCATATGTTTTGCTGAGGTTAACTTGCGGCGCCGTAATAGATGATAAACACATCCAGTCATTCGCGAAATTCCAACTAAAAATATATATTCACTTTTAAATCGACGTCTTCCTTGGTGTAGCCGTCGTAACTGCCAAAGGCCCCTATAGCCTTAAAAGAGCATCACAGCCTTTCATTACACTACAGAGCCTACCATAGTAAGTGTTGTTTATTTCCTTTCAGATGGCACAAGATTTCATAAGGCTCACAATAAGGTAAAGGTGGACGGACACGAGTTCAATTGCGACCATTTCATATCCAGAAACGATCATGGTACCTGGTGTGGCTGTGCGTTTCTGGGGTGCACAGGGAGTCACAACTGTCAAGATGGAAGTTGGCATTGTTTTATCAAGAATAAAAATTATGATTACCGCCGCATCACGACTGGCCAAACAGGAGATTGTGACTGCCATCATGAATATAACAAACATGGATAGAATCAGGGGGTAAGAAATGTAACATCATACCTGCGTAAGTTGTAAACGTCAAGGTCAAAAATACTTATTAAAATTACCATTTAAAAGAGATTTTTATTTTAGTCTCCTTCAGGAAATTATAGAACAAGTTTTTTCTATGTTGATTATACTATCATTGTTTTTTTCAATTATTCCACGAGAAAGTATAGTGAATGAAAAAAGAAAAATGAATAATTCATTTAGGAAAAAAATTTCTTTGTTCGATGGCTGAGGACAAAGTTTGCTACAAACTTTTCTCCTTTACTGATTCCGCAGTGGTTGATGCCCAAAAACGTAGAAATAAATTACCCATAGAAGTAGGTTTTTCATTTGGTACCCCTACTAGTTTGAGAGTGTGCGAAGTGGGCGAAGAAGAAAGGATCAAAAAGAAGGAGTTTTCCTTTACTTACTGCGGCTGCGACAGCCTTTCCTATTCCATTTCCAGTCAGTCCTAACGCTTTGTTTGCGCCACCTTTAACTATTAGGGTAAAAGGATGTTGTCCAACCATATGTTTCATCAATGGTCTCGACAAGAACTAAAAATTTTGAATTTGAGGTTTAGGAACTATGTGAAGTTCAGAAAACTGCTAGGAGCAGAGGAGACTAACTGTTGGATGACTATTACGGGGAGGGTCTAAGAGGCTGGTGATTAGAAAAGAGCTCCTAAATCAACCAGCCGAAGTTACCACTAGAAAGTTATTTAACTCCCAAAATTTGTTGGTAACTTTATTTATGTTGCTAAGGAGCTACAAGACCACTTATGCTGTGGAACTTCTAAAAAATTGCAAATATTAGTGAAATTATTTATCTTAGCTCCTCAGTATATTTAGCTTAGTTTTACCAAATGTTGCAAAGTTTTACATCTACAACAAATTATGGACTGTTGAACGAGGAGCGTTCCCATCGTTCCTATAGTTTCTCTTCGTGTAGGTTTAAGACCTGCACAGTTGTTGAGAAGGAGGGAAATTAGGGATAATTGTCAGATCAGAGGGGTATGGTACATGTACTAAGATGCACTAACATGCAGTAACCTTGCTGTTAAAGCATTTCGTGAGTAACGGACTTCTGAACAGAAATTGAATCAAACCTCTTCGAAGTATCGAATGTGATTTTCGGGGAATCACATGGTTTACAGGGAAAACCAAGAGGGGAAAAGTCGTTTACCAACGTGGTAAAACTTTCAATGCTTTGTCATAATGCCAGTACATGAATTCCCTATCATTATACCATCATTATTTTTTCTGACAAGGCTCCACAGTCAATAAATGGTCTTTGGCTTGATGGGATAAAGCTTGAAATGAGACAAAAAAAACCCAAAAACACGCAGAAATTGAGGCTTAGGTAATAAAATGATTATTGTATTAAAATGGGTTTTTTTACAAAGATTTTCAGCCGCAAGGAAAGCCGTAACAGCACACGTGTAAATCTACGAAAATACAGATTGCAAAAATAAAATTTAATTGTCGTGCAAGAAGTTGCAGGAACATAACAATATCACGCGAAAACTAAATGGTCAGTTATTATTCAAGGAAGGTAAAAAAATAAGAGGGACATCACACATTCCACAATCAAAGAAATTCGCGTCCTGCGAATTCGCACTACGACAACTAACGTGTCGTTAATGAGTTTTTATAAAACAAGGTACCGGCGAGAAAAATCCTTATTCATGTTTTTGTTTTGTTTGTTCGTTTGTTTGTTTTTTGTTTGATTGTTTTTTGTTTGTTTGTATTTTTAATGTAAAAAACCGAACTAATTTTTGAAAGATCGTACCCCAAACACCTGTTATGTTTGCCTTGCCAATTCCAGCAACACAATTGGAAAGTACTTAACTCGGGGTCTGTTATATTATCAGTTAGTAGACTTGCAACGAAGAACTTAACCCAACCAGCTTTTTGAGCTACATATCAGCCACTGAGATTTTCTTGAACTGAAGTTAAGTTTAAGTTGCCTAAAGTATAGCTGGTAAAACATTTGGGAATGCGTGTAGACTGATTTTATTCACGACCCTAACAGAGCAGCAGTTTCCGTCGCTTTTTTTTAATTGACGATAACAAGCACGGAGATTTTCCAACGAGAATTCGTTCAAACTCATATTTTTGTACTGAATACAAATTTAAGAGGATTATAAACCATACTGAAGTATTAAGTGAGCAGGCAATGTCAAGTTGGCTAATTTTAGTGCTTTATATTACCGAGTTGAAACATGTCGTTTACGTTAATCGGCAAAAATGTTCTCTTGGATCCCAAACTTTACCTGTTATTCGAGACAATACTGATGATGTAAACAGCTACAGAAATTTCTCTTCCGCGGCTGATGCAAGTAGTTCCATGTTGGGGACAAAATTTCTGCAGTCAGCCGGTGCAAAGTGCAATTTTTGCAATTGCTAAGCGTGTCAAGTTAAATTACGGGACCTCTTTTTGGTGGTGAAATCTATTATTTTATGGAAAAAAATAAGACAAATTATGTAACTTTCAGGTACTTGAAATTCTAAAGTTCTCCTCAAACGAAAAGTAGAATATATGTATTCAGAAAACTTGCTTGTTCCCTAACATGATACAGTTTTAACCAATACCAGTTTTTTTTATCATGCGATGAGTGCCCTTACGAGATTTACAAGAGGTGGTAAAGTTTTTTACGATCGTGATACTCACGTCCTTAAGAAATTTGAGTGCTTGTAAGTCTTCTTTTTTTCTTGAGTGATGCCTATGAGGAAACAACCGTATTATCGGCGCAGTGTATTTCTACACAACGCCTGTCGAAATATTTCCCATCTTCCCCTTTTTAACCCTTTGTCATGTTTACCTGGCCATTTGCCAACTGTACACAATGCGTTGCTGAAGGTTCGCTTCCAAAGGGAAATACTGAACAGAAATTGTGATTTTCGCACTCATTACTGGTATATGGAATACGTGGATTCCATTCTTTGTCATTTCGCGGAAACTTCGAGCGATCTTCGTGTGCGACTTCCTTTAAGAAATGATCTTTCACCAACCACAGCTATCCGTTTGCAAACGCATTATTATTTTAATTGCATACTAAGAATCTAAAGACATGAAATACACTTTCTATCGGTTTATTAGTCAGCAGTTTGTTTAGTAACATACACGTTTTGCAAAGTCGTAATATTTGACCTTAAATTCGTTGCAAATCTTGTGTAGCCTGATGAAAGCAGGCCGAAATTACTCAAGATCCAAAAGTAAAACAGCATTTACAAGAAGATCTATACTAACTTTTAATTCCTGTTCCTCACAAAATCCACTCTTAACTCTTATCAGGTATCATTGCCTCTTACTTTTCTATTTTGTTTCGTTTTCTCACAATCTAACACATTTGAGACGCCTTCAACCTGAATGTTTTTCTGCAGGGCGTGAAGAAACGAAACTCAGCGTAGACATCGCGTACAATGCCTATTGTTCTCGGTACGTTTACTTGCAGTAGCGAAAAAAAATTATAGATCCGTAATATTAGCGGCGAAAGATATTCTGGAGAGCTTTGATTGGTCAAAGATTACGCGCTCATTCCTCCTTAGGCATTTCGAGCCGAAGTCAAGTATTATTTCAGCTTTAATTATCTTGGTAGGAGTCCATTAGGCTAAAAAAGAGCTGGGTACGGGCAGAATAAAGTGACAGCGTGGATCCTTGTTATTTTGGGAGAGGTAACTTGTTATGACAGGATGACAAAGCTATCAAGTAAAACACAATAACGATAAAAATAGGATATAATAGGTACAAGAAAAAAAAAACTTATAAGAAGAGGTAACATAATAAACAAAGGTGGAAATTGGCCCAAACGTTGTTTATACGCGTTATTGGCGATGAAAAACAATGACAGTTTTACCGATTTGCTTCAACATGTTTAAGGTGGTTACTGCTATAAAAACTTGGGTTCTCTTCGTGTAATAACAGTTACAGGAGCGATATATTTGCAATAACCCGAAGAGGACCTAAAGAGCCGCTAGAAGAAGAAAAAAGAGCAGGTAAAATCTTCAAGCCCCTAGGCTTTGCTATCGTAAATAGTTTATTTTTGTCCTATTAATGGTCCGCTGAAGTATCAGCCACCGCTGCCTAATTTGAAATCTCTGACCGCTTTTCTAATTACGACACGAAATGAAGTTTTCTCGCCATTTTCAAAATCGAGTTTAAAATGCTTACATAGGAGGATACAAAAAAGAAAAATTATTTAATCTTCCTCAGGAGCTTTCCATGCAATATCTAAGAAAAAAGCCGAAAAGTAAGAAAAGTCATGGAATTGACAACCAACGCAGACATTTTCGCAATGTGTTTTAAATCGCTGATGGGCTGAGGGCAAAAGTTAAGTTCTAGACGTCTCAATATCACTGGCGTGAAGTTCGTTTGAAATAGAATCTCCGTATTGTTCAATAAACTGCACTTAGTCGTCCGCTCTGTCACCGAATCAGAACATCACTCAACATTGCCGATAAAAAACCTATCAGAAATTTCCGTCCCCTGCAGCAAAAACAGTTCGTGTTACTTAAATTTTGATATCGCTTATGATAAATAAACGATAGGGTAATCTGCTATTGCATGCTCGCTAGGGGAAAATTATAAAGCTAAAATAAATAAGTTGCATCTCATGTGTTTTATATGCTCAGAATTCCGTTAAAGATAATTAGTGTTTACAAACGTTTAGTTATGGGAATCGAAATAATCTTTTCTTAAAAGAAATTGTGCACAAATATTTCTCGAAGGCTTCTCTGAAAGGAATGGGCACGTACTTATTCTATAGATGCCAGTAACGAACGCGAGAATCGCTTTTTCTGTTCAGCATTCTGCTCAGGCAATGGACTTTCACAGTTGTAGAAGGGGCAATACATTAAGCCCAGATGGCAGCTGGCCGGATAAGCGATATATTTGCGTTATGCGAAGACTTACGGGCATCCACATTTCGTACTGATGTATACGTAGGTATAACGGTGTTAACAAAAATGATTCCTTTCGCTACCACCTGTTAAATGCTATTGAAGAGGCAAGCTCTCTGGATACATATATCCCAATTTTTACTCTGAAAGAGAGAAATTCACGTAACCGTTAAAAGCAACGACTTTTTTTTTTATATGTCTCTGATGTATTTGTCTGTACCTAATAAAGAGGTCACTTATATAAAAAATGCTTTGAACCACAGCAAATTGTAAAAATCTCACTTTCTGATTATAGCCTGTAGTCACTAAATGAAACTATTTTCGATGGCCTCCAATTCGGACAAGAGATGTCTGCAGTTACTTTGTTTTTATCTTCAAGATTGGCTTGAATGAAGGGTAAAATTTGAAATTTAAGAGAACTTTTTTCGCCGAATGCCGTAAACGCTATGTTTGAATTTATTGGTATCAACAAGGTGGTCAGCTCGTTTGAACTGAAAACAGAACTTACACAAAAAATAGCCAACATGACATTACTTGTTCATTTTATGCCTCGAACTCGTTTATAATCCTCTAGAATTTAAACTCAGAAGCGGCGCTGAAAGATCCAGAAAAGGTCAATAAAGATTGGCTTGGGTTACTAAGTCGGTTAATCATAAAATCCTTTAAACAGACGGATTGAGGGTATGTTTTATTCCATCGGTACAAGTCACGCTTGGCTCGAATTGAAAGCAGAGCTTTGAAGCAATTGATTGGAATACAATGAAAATGCCATCATGTAAAACGTGTAAGATGAAAGTTTTGCAGTAGAACTGTAAAAATCAAAACCAAAGAAAGTTTGTATAAAAATTCCTTTTGCCTAGGCAACTCAAGTTCAAATGCGATTGAGACATTCTGAGAGTACGAAAGTGTTATTTTATTATTTTATTAAACAATTTCTTCAAAAGTTTTGCACTTATTTCATATTGGTCTTTCTGTTTTCAACAGTTTTCTCCATGTTTCACGCGTTTAGTAAAATCTGCGGCATTTACACTCTTCCTTCTTGATGTTTAAATAATCGTATCTCTTGGATATTTTACAATGCTTTAAGCCGAAGCAGTGCGGGTATCCCGTGCATGCCAGAAACGGGCAGCTACAGAACACACCATGCGAATCAATACTACGTTCCAAGTGACAGTTATACCAATCTCCGTCAAATCTGATCCAGTGGTGAATCTCCCTTGGTATGGTCTTGCTTGAGAAAGCTGAGTCTTAAAAAATAAAAATACATCCACTTCAGTTAATTGAACCAACTCGATGACAAAATCTTGGTCATCAGGGAGAATTGAACTTAGAACTGTCTTGATTTTCGAGAGATGCTTAGGAGTCTTAAATTCTCGTGCGGCAACAATAATACTCTCCAGAATAACTCGTAAAATAAAGCCTGGAATGATTTTTGTCGAGGTTGCCATTTTTTCGCGAAAAAGTTGTAAAATCCTCGTGTAAAGCTACTCTGCTGTCTATCAGATCTTTTGTTTAAAAACGAACGTCACTTCCGTTACCGTCATGTTTTCCTTGGCTCCTGATGACGAAGACTTTATGATGATAGCAGTGACGATGTTGTGAGTTTTATGATGATATTACTAACAAGGTTAGCGAGTTACCTTCGAATTCGTGTTTACTCCCATCGCTTCTTCCATGTTCCTTGACCAGAGACGATATTAATGCAACGAATAGTAACAAAACAAAGCCTCTGATAATCATCTCGCCTTTTAGAAATCAAAGCCTAGAAAACAGAAAGAATAAACAAACAAAAATAAAAAAAAGACGCACACACACACGCACAACTAGAGGTTCAACTTCCTCTGTGTGGTTTTTGTCACAGTTGAGCTATAACATTGGCTAAATAAGCTCAATTAACTCTATGGAACAGCTTGAGTTAATTATCACAGCCAGTGACAAAGAAACTGGCACGTTTTTTCTTTCTAACTATCGTCATATTCAAAAATTCTGTCTGATACCCCACAGTGCAAATGAAGAGCATGAAGATTTCAAGACATGATTATTTGATGCACTTTCTTCTTCCTATGCGACGTGACCTTCCGGCATGTAACTGCCAGTAGATAACCGCTTACCCACTTGGAATGGCGAATGAATGTGTTTTACAGAAAATGACATTGCTTAGTCATAATTAGTTTTGCTCGTCAGCGGGGAGTGGCAAGTTTCTTCCCTAGGCCGCCACAAATAGACTACAGGCGAAAATGATTAAGGACGACAAACAATTATGAACTAATTTATCTACTCATAAATTGCGAACCAATATATTTTCCCAACCACGACCAAAAATTTTTGAACCGTAACTTTCATGACCAAATTCATAGACCCAGCAGAATAGGCGTACATCACCAGTTGACATGTTTAGACCTTTCAATAAATAAGTAAAAGGAACCTTTTAACCAGTTTGGTTTCTACTCGACTCTTTTTCTTGATTTTCCACGCTACTTTCAAGTGCTTCATGTTAACAGGATGTACGTTTTCGAAATAAGGATATCACTTATAACGAGGCCCATGGATATCACTTTGATGCGAGAAGAAATGATGGATAATGCAAAACATATCGATAAACAGCTTGAAAACACTTAAGAGTTTTGTCAGAACCAAGCAAGACACAACTACAAACAACAACAGTAGATTTGACTGAAAGCATTCGACGAAAAAAAAACAATTAGTGCTTTTGTCGAGTCCCTTCGTACAACTAATATTGACAGATGTCAATAAAATGGCCATCGCGTGAAGGCTTTCTAATTGTTGCCATTAAAAGTTTGATCTGCTGAGTACCGGACGTTAAATCTGACGAGTCTTACCTGGCAAAACATCAAAGCCTCTACTACATTGCTCAAAGTATGTCTGAATACCTTTGGCTTCACGAGAAGTGATCATTTTAACTATAAGAAATATCAATACAAATACGGGTACCAGGCGTTCTGCTGACAGAAATTTACCTGCGTTTGAGTTGGGAGGAACAAAAGCATAAAAACAATAAAAACGTTTTTCTTGCCACAAAAACCCTATTCGATGCAAAAATACATTTTTGCTTCTAGATACACCCCAGTAAATTGTAGGATGGAACTCTTTAGGAGCACTTTTCAATACTGATGAAACCAGTGATTAAAAGTTCTGAAAGTAATCCGTGATCCCGATGGTTTTGCGTTACAATGCTTTGTAATGGGCCCAAAAAACTCACTCAACCCTGTCACACAATCTTAAGAGGCTGAAAATTAAAGAGAACTGAGGACCTTAAGAGCTGATAAATGAGCATTCTGTTTGTTTGTTTTTCTTCAAGATTCCTTTGTGCTTTGCTCTCGTGGCAAAAACAGACTCCTCAAAAAACTATTTATCAACAACTGTGCCCACAACGTACAGGTATATATACAGGTATATATGACGAGCTTTACTTTGAAAATATTCTAAGGCTCGTTACGCCATACCCCATACATTAGACTAGACTAACCCTAGTCTAGTTTCCAGTCAATAGCTAGCGGGCAGCATTCCCATCGAAAGTACCGCAGTGGGCAAAGAAAGTATCGCATGTGTTTTCTAAGGGACCGCAAGAGATTGGGCCGTAATAATCCAGTTTCTCCTCTCTTGTCGCCTCTTTTCGATGATTACTTCTTGCAAATTAAATCACCGAGCTTTTGTGACAACTTTTAGAGAAATATGTCAAGACAAATTAGAGTATATATATAAACAAGGGAATGACGAGTCGCAGCGTGGTTATCCCACTTATTCACGTCAATCATTCAACTGCTTAGCTTTACTTATTGGAAGGAATCGTGAATCTAAGTGGCTATTACCCATTAAACTCGGAAAAGGAAACATGAACTGGTGAGATGTCGACGCTTCTGAACTGATCGTAATAAACTTTTGGTTACGCAGGACAAAAACTCACAGAACGCGTCATTGAGCAAACATGTTGGGAAAGGTTTCGATATCTTAAGCATGACGTTAAAGAAAGGGGAAAAACCGTCATTTTTCGGCTTAAAATAGTGTAAATTCTGATATTCCTCCTCTCTCCTCTTATTTGGCTGTTTATTTTTTAGTTGAGACCTCACAGTTGTTTGAAACTGTGAAACGTATGTCATTGCTCCAATGCTCCAGAAAAGAAGTTAACTCTTAAAACCATACTTCCTTGTTTAAACCTCTTGACGTCATGTGGAAGACTTCAAATACTACTACCTTAATTACAGTAGAACCCCGCTAAAGCGAACCCGGTTAACAAGAACGCCCGGTAACTCGAAAAAGATTCGATTTCTCTTGGATTTGAGCCCATTTTTCCAGTAATTTGCTATCAGCTGACTCGAGCTTTCGAAATTACGATTCGAGGCGATTGTTAATGTTTTTAGATCAAGGCTGGTACTTGCATAAAGAAAAGGAAAACTCGTTTTTAATTTTGTCAATGGCAAATTTTAGTTTGACGGCGACTTCTTTCCGCCAGTACCATTCGCTTTCACAAAGGAATTTTTTTGTTCTTTGACAGAATGGTACCCTTTTTTTCTTCCTTGAGCCTGTTTTATTTTTTTTCTTTTTCTAACAAGGACTTTTTTCCGCTTTTGATTTTTCCATGAGCAAAGATTTTTCCATAAACAAAGAGCTTCTACAAGCTTCCTCAAGTGATTTTGCAAAGTACGCGATGTAAACAAAATATGGAAATAACACGAAAATCGAGCCCCAACATGAGTGGTTGCCGCGAAAATTCCCCCAGGGGATTCGCCCAGGTCCGAGATTATGACACTTTTATTTGAAATACGTTTTTCTAAATAATTCGGGTGCTTTTAAAGATTTCAGAATTTTTTTTAATGGAAACGTTAGGTTGAATGTTTGAATTCAGCGTAGTCAAATAAAATTGATTTTTTTGGCCTCTGAAGGTGGGAAGTAACCTTAAATGGTTCAGCATCACTATAGGAAAAGCTTGATACCACATGCCCACGTAAAAGCTTTTACGAATCTAGGATTCAGAGAGGGGGGGTGATTGTTTACTCTGGTTTTTTTTGTTTTTTTGTTTGTTTATTTAGTTTAATTTTTTTCGTTTTCATTATTTAGATGTCGTGGCATCAAGAGAAAGGCGCTGGGAAAGCAGAAGGAATGGATTCAGTAAGTTTGCCTCACAAATAATTACTGTACCATCCTAGGCCTGACGGCTTGCTAGATATTCCTTCATAAGCCAAACTTTTCTCAACAAAAAAGGAATTGTCATCATCCCCTTCAAACTCGTTCTGAACTCCAATTTCAAGCGCCAGAGAGGATATACAAGTCCCAATTTAATGTTTCTCGTGTGTCTAACCCTAGGATGGCGAGTAGATGTGAGCGTTAATTTGGTTTTAAATAATGGCTATAAATCGCAGAATCGAATGTCTTTTTTTTTTCGTGTGTTTCATTATTGAGTGTTTGTTCAATTCCATTAGTTAAAGACAAAATAAAAATACGTATAGGTTGATTCTTAAAAAACAGCAACCAAGTGCTTCTTTACCGCAGCAGCCTGGAACACATCATCTCATCCTTTTCATTTCGTGGTTCTCTGAAAGGAGAGAAGCACCTGGAGAGTCTTCCAACTCCTCTTCCCTCCCCTTCTCCTTAAGTATAAGAAGATCTGAGGTTGAATTCCTTATGGAACCCATCTCTCCCTCAATTTGATTTTGCTCTACTGTTTTGATGAAGTCACTTTAAATTTTTAGACTCAAGAAGTAATTGAACCAGTTAGCATCCATGTGACATACATTGATACGAAGAGAATCCTTCCCTATCAAAAAGGGGGAGATCTAAGGGGATTCACCAAGCAGTTCTTGCAAGGATTCTCCGACGTTTTACCTCCCAATGTTACTTCAGAACAAGTCAAGTTCCAGCGATATAATGCAAGATTTGACGATGCTGCCGAACTTGAAAATGGATACAAGTTTGATGATAACCAAAAAGTTAGCGCACACATCGTGGGTGACAAGAAGGTACAGACGTTTTGCATTGTTTCTGATTTTAGAGCACATAGTTTTATTGTATATAAATTAATTAGAAAACGTATTAATCCGTGGAACTTCGATCAGAATCTCGAGAGCTCCAATACTGGTGATTTTGAGATTTAGCGCGTTAGGGCTTTAACATGGGTTCAGAAGGTTACGCCTTATAGCGAGTTCGCTCTCTACAAAGACAAGTTTCACAGCAATACCATGACAAAGCTCGATGGACAAACAAAATCTTAGCCGTGTTGAGCAATGACCAATGTGCACATCTTATGTTTTAATCATGGAACTTGTTGGAAGTAGAGTGTTTAACGACGATTTAGGAAATGAATTGAATATTTTGAGGTGAACCTGTTGAGGTGGGGGTGAACTTTTTCTTTTTTTTCTTTTTTTTTTTTTTTTTAAGGAGTCGAACTCGCAAAGGTTTAAGCGTTGAACTTGCAGTTGCCCTTGGACTTTTAGTTTAGTGAGTCCCGTATCGTTTATTTTGTCTTGTTCAGTTTAGGTCTGTTTTTTTTTTAGTTTAATTTTGTTTGTTTGTCTGTTTGTTTGTTTGTTTTTAGTTTTGTTTAGTTTCGCTTAATTTTGTTTATTTACTTTGTTTTTTTCTTTTGTTTCCTTTACGTTTCCTTTCTTTTCTTTTCCTCTTCTTTTTTTTTTTTCGTTTCTTTTCCTTCTGTTCGTTTTGTTTCTGTTTGCTTCGTTTCGTTTGTTTTTCCCTTTCGTGAGGAAAAAAAATCTTAATTCTTGCCTCTTCCCATCAACGCAGCCATGCAATAAGTATAGGTAAGAAAATGATTTCGAGTGAATTTGGTGTCAATTAGCACGAGTGAATTTTTCAAAGAGAACAAAATTGAAAGAGCCCGTAGGGAAAGTGCAACTTGTAGTCTTTCGAAAATTTCAAGTGCTTATCACACCAAATTTCGAGAGAAGTCATTTTATTACTTGTTGATAATGTACATAAAAAAACATTACAGGAAGTCAAGACAGACGAAATTTGAAAGCGTACACTCGCTATTTGTAATTCACATTCGTATCATCGCTTCGTATTCATGAGAATGCACTCGTTTTCAGCCAATCAGAAGTGTGTAGTATTTTTCATGTACATTATTAAGGAGGAAATCAGCATATCCTGCATCATTATACTAAGCTGATTATATCTGCTACCTTTTCAGGCTAAAGAGAAGGAGAACCAAACACCACGTAATATGTCAATTTCGGGAGGCCAACATACATTTTATCTGTATACGACTGAGTTGGCTACGTCGGATGACGGTTTTGTAGGGAACTCGACTTTTAAGTTCCATCAACTTACGGTAGGTTCTACTTATCGCTTTTGGAGCGCAGTCAGCAACAAAAATGGTGGTGTTATGAAGAGGAGTCCCAGTGAAAACATAGTGATTTGTGGTGGAACTTTTGAGGAGCCTGATGATAGTAAGTAAACAGTTATGTTATTTATACAAAAAATGCAGTGATATAAACAATAGCCTCAATGGGCGTGAAAATAGGCTTTAGCAACTACGGCGTCGCGAAATTGTTTGACCCGATGAGGAGAGCATGATGGAAGGGAAGGTTGCCTTCCATCTCTCATTGAAGCTCTTTCTAATAACGATAAAAATTTACCTCTGCGAGGATTTTAAGTCATTGTAGCAAATGAAGTTAATACGTTTTATGTAATTTCCTGTTAGCTGATGATCACTTTGGCGGAAGCTCGCACCCGTCGTTGTAGTAAACTAGATTTACATCAGAACGCTGGATTTTAATACTCACTTCTCGTAGAGCTATTGATATCCTCTTCGAAATTAAGATAAACTTGAAAGAATTTGAGTCAACTTGACTTAAGCCGCTTTGATACATATAAATTTTTGCCTTTTCTGTGCTTAAATGTCTTCTGATTGATTCTACAACTTAAGAAAATATCAAACGAAGTCCATTAACATGCAACTCAAACTTATCAAACACAATACATCGTGAACAACCTGCGACCGCTACCTCTAACGAGGATATTGAGCTCTGAACCATGAGATAGAACCGGTTGTTGCATTAGTTTTTATGAGGAGTATTCCAAGACGGTCTTTTTTCTTTCGATATCTCCTCATTGCTGAAGTCAATAATGATAACTGGTTCTCCTTAAATCCTTATCATAGCTCACATACAGGTCATTGATGTGAATAATAAGTCACCGAATAAAAGCAATGCTGTGGCCCTTCTATTCACGGACACAAAGCTAAACAAGCAGTATGCAATGAAAGGAATTGGATGCGGACAAGAAATCCAAACCGAAGTAAGGAGTTATTTCATTCATACAATTCAACGTTCATTCATCTATTTTAGCTTTCACCAATTCATTTATTCATTCATAATTAATTTCGCTCACTCCCTCACCCGCTCATTCACTCGTTCATGAATTTATTCAGTCAGTCATTCAATCTGTCCGTCATTAATTGCATAATCAAGATTATTTCTCATTCAAAGATGCTTTCCGTTTTGCAAGGAAATTTCTTTGCACGATGACGAAAGCGATATCTTTGAGCCTGACTATTTCTGGAGCTACACCATGCTCAAACACGTCAAAACCGGCTGCTATGTGGGATGTGACTACACTGGAAAAGTGACTTTGGTGGAAAATTCAAAGCCCGAATTTCCTAACGCTGAGATTCTGTTCATCGCCAATGCACCTTAAACTGATTTACACAGCAGAAGACTCAGTGGTGGGTGTTCTGAGTGAAGTCAGCTCACTATTTGACCATTTTGATCCGCCTGTGAGGCACTGAAATATTAGATGAGACTACCGTCTACATTCGTTAATCTGTTTTTAATCAAGTAAATAAAGTACTCTTATCACAAATAGTATTCAAGGTATTGTTATTTCTGGCTTGTTTCTAAGACAAATTGTGTCGAATCAATCCATTGGTCGCTTCAGCTGTCAACACTTGGTTATTTCTTTGTTAAAACAACCACAGATGGCCCAAGCTCACGTCTCGAGAAAAAGCAAACGATTAATTCATGAAAGCGTCACGCGTTGTGTGACTCGGTGTTAACTTACGAGAGGAACCGTTTAGAATTTGAGCAAGTGAGACGTGAGCTTGGGCTGCCTGTGAAACAATCTGTGGTCAGATTCTCTAATCAGAAATAGAGTGTGGCCCCGTCTTTGTGTTGATACCCAACCCGTCTCCGAATCTGGGAGAACCGTGACGGACTGACGTCCAGTCTAAGTATGACGCTAATTCAAAATTTGTCTTAGTGCAGTAAACCTGCAAATACCAATTTATTTCTCATCATAAAACACCCCTAAAAGCCTCTGAGGTTGAATAATTATAAGTTAGAAACAAACTTTACAAGGCATTCATTAATCATTCGGCAAAATGACAGCTGCTTTTTTTTAATATGGGAAACGTCGATGTCATCCAGAACAAAAGATGTATCTTTGAAAGTAACGTTCCTTATCACATTTATTTTGTGTATGGTGCAGGTATGCAGATTGTTTTGCTAGCATTTTTTTTTTCATATCTTAAGGTGTTTTGTTAAAAAAACAAAAAACCTAAGTGAACAAACTCCGTGTTGGGCCGACTGCCAGGAAAACACTATCCCAAGCAGTTTTGCAATTAGAGGAATTAATAAACTTAAAAAACTTCTGAAGCTAATGGTGCTTTTAGTTTATCCCCTTAAAGACTTGATACCTAATTCTACTGCCATCCTATCATACAAATTTATAATGAAACAATTCTCTTTCCGGGTATGCCATCATGTGAAACACCAATTCAAACATTCGTGACTTCAACAGATGCAAAGCACATAATCCTAAAATGCCAGCCAAAAATTGTTCTGCAAAAAGAAAAAGACATTGATTGTGACTTGCATAAAAAATATTCAAAATAATCGAAGAAAGCAAAACAAGAAGGCCTTTCCAGGCCACTTTGTTGATGTTCTTGCAGTGACGTTAACCCATTGTGACTGCAGCTTTCCTCTCTATTAATCAGGCTTTCGAGCGGAAACTGCTAAAAGATTTTGTCAACTCTCGTTTGAAGATATAAACAAGCTAAATTTGAGGTTTTGTGAGAGGAAGGATGAGTAGTTAGTGCTACTGTAGAATTTCATAGTTAGCTCCTTTTGAGGAACCATGTCATTGTAAAGCAAGTCAGGTATCGGTATCGTTAAGTTAGTCGTGTTGGTATTACGATTACAGAAACGTTCAATACTGTGGTTGCAACCTCATTCCCAGGGTCTCTCTTCTTCCCTTCATTTAGAGCCAGAGAGACCCTGGAAACGAGGTTTCTGTGGTTGTAGGTTGTGCCTAAATCCTACCGGCTAGAGGTACGCACGAGGAGCACTAGTCACGGGTTTCCGAGGCGGGTGATTATCGGAAATTGTCGGCTATTGCAATATGGTGGACTATTCTAGTAACACCATGTGCAATTTACTAACAGTCAAGCGATATGATTCAACCAGATATGAACATTAGAACGTGCTTTACATGTGGAGTATACATTGTTGAGTTTCAATCAAGGAAATTTCGCCAAATTTTGTGTGGCTATTTCCTTCGCCCTCGTCGATCCTAAGTTCCTTGTTTGGCAGAGTCTTAGCTTAAAGCTGTAGCCGCTAAGAACAACACTTGCAAAGGTAAACAAAACTTATGAATAGTATCGCCACTATATGCCCCTTTCATGGTGCTACTGGTTGGAAAGATCCCCAAGATGAAATTTCTATTGTCTTCTACCTCTAGACGGTGGGATCTCAGGAAGCTTAGAAAATACTACCGGCCAGAGGTACAACTTGCATATCTAGTCAACTTTGCACAATTATTACGATGGTTTCCTTCGCATTTTACTATTTCCGCACTCCACTGAAATTAGTCTTAAACTCGTTTGAATCAATTTTTTCCAGGAATACGTATACATTTATTTATTTTTATTTGGTCTTTAACCTCAAGCTGGTAGGATCTTAGGGGGCTGATAAAATACTACAGGCTAGAGGTACAGCTTGCATTCTCAGTGGACTTTGCCTACCCTAGCCTGTAGTGAAAATACTACAGGCTAGAGGTACTTTGTACGTTTAGGGTGAATTTAGTTCGTTTCATTTACTTCTTGATTTATGGAAAAAACCTTTCTAAATTCCATGTTAGTCTCATACTGTTGTGGAGTCACTCGACAACTGGATAGTAATCTCGGATTACTGGAACGCCCACATATGAGGTAAGCTGGAACTCATCTGCATTCTTATGTTTTAAAGGAATTTCATACTAAATTTTAAACTAGCTTGTATTTTCTTCGGTAGTGGATTTATCTCCATACAAATATAACCAGTTTTAGATGGATTTGACTTGAAATCTATTTCAGACTTGAACATGTCAACCAGATTTACTGAAGTTTGTTGTGTGATACTCTGCCTAACTATTAGTGGAATTTCTTAGAAAGGAACAGTCTCTATTTTCATGATATTTGTGTTTGGTTAAAAGTGATGTTGACAAGGTCAACCATTGTCTGAAATACTAAAATCAAGTCATCTTTCGGTAGTCATAGGATAACATGATTATAATTCACCAAATTGACATTTTCCTTATGTATTTCCAATGAAATTTAACAGCATGTAGGACTGTATGAAACCTTAAAGCAAGTCATTCTTGAAAATGTACAATGGTTTTCTACTACATATACAGAATTTATACAATTATATACACGAGATTAACCTGGGCCTGTGTCACTGATTGTATTTTTTAATAAAAATTGCTACTATTAAAAATAAATCAAACCTTTCTTGTTTTCAAAAGGGAAATACCAGTAACGCTCCAGGGTATAACCGACGAATTAATCGAATGGTCCCGTAAGAACAGGGTAGTGCTAAATCCAGATAAATGCAAAGAGTTGAGAATCTCGTTTTCCCGGAACCCTGAGGCCTTCAATTCGGTGTCCATCGATGATAAGGAAATTGAAGTGGTTGCCCTTGGTATAACTATAAGCGAGAACGCCCACATTAACGAGTTAGTAAAGAAAACCAGCAAAAAACTATACTTTCTTGTACAGCTGAAACGGGCCCGACTACCTCCTTACAGACCTAGTTCTTTTCTATCTTTCGTGTGTTCGATCTACGATAGACTACGGAGTTTCGATTTTTCAAATCCGCAACTTAAGAACGAGAACATCCATATCGATAATTTTGCCCAGCACGAGCTACAACAAAGCCTGCGAAGTTTTTAAACTGTTTGACGCCATAGTAGCCGACCCCAACCATAAGCTACATGGATTACTGCCACAGAAAAATAACGTTGTTTATAATTTTCGATACAATCTTCCCTTTGTTTTACCGCGCGTTCACACCAATAGGGCAAATAACACTTTCATACTCGCAATGTCCCGGCTATTCAACGCATCTTCTCATAATACATAGATTATTCCTTAAATTTTAGTTCAAGGATGAAAAAGATTTACCAATTTAAACATTTTTACCATTATATTTAACATAGATTTATCATAAATTATTATTGTCCTTTTAAAAGTTGTAAAAGTTACTTAATTCAGCCTTCGGGCTGCGATGTGATTTAAATAAACCATCTATCTTATCGATCTATCTTGTTTTAACACCAACCAGACACCCTTTGCTTATTGTCAAATAATGCCTGCTTTAGTTTCAGCTGATTCCCTATAAAGAGTCATTTGATGCTCACAGCTTGTGTGCTGTGCTATCAAATAAGTAGTGGTAGGTGGTAGGTACGCGACCAAGGAGAGAAGGTATTCTTGAAAAAAATGATTGAAGTGTAACTATAAGATTAAAATGTAATGCCAAAAAGTAAAATGAAAAGCACTCTGTAAGAAAATTTGGCAAAGTCAATAAAATAAGCAAGCTGTACTTCAAGTATTTTCTAGGCCTCCTAAGATCCTACCAGCTGGAGGTTTTTAGACTAAGTAAAAGAGAACAAAATGTAAATGAAGTCATGTAAAAAGTGATTCCAAGGAGTGTAAGACTAATGTGGGGCGCAGAAAGTAAAATGGGCAAACTGCAGTAAAAATTGGGCAAAGTTGATTAAATATGCAAGCTGTACCTCTAGCTGGTAGTCTTTTCTAAGCCTCCTTAGATCCGACCACCTAGATGTACAAGAGCAAATTTTCAAAAATTAGTGTAAATGTACTCTTGTAAAAAATGATTCCAAGGAATGTAAGACTAATTTGGTGTGCAAAAAAGTCAAATGTGGAGCTAATCGTAATAGAAATTGAGCAAATTCAACAGGGTATGCAAGCTGTACCTCTAGCCGGTAGTATTTTAAAAGCGCTAGCGCCTTCAGATCTTACCAGCTAAAGGTACAGGACCATATAAAAATGAATAAGTGTATGCGTATTCATGAAAAATTGTGATTCAAAGAAGTGTAAGACTAATTTGGAGTGCAGAAAAAGTAAAATTTGAAGCAAACTGTGGTAACAATTAGCAAAGTTGACTAAATATGAAAGCAGTACCTCTAGCCGGTAGTATTTTCTAAGCCTGATGAGATCCTACCGGCTAGAAGTACAAGACAATAGAAATTTCATCGTGGCGATCTTTCCAACCAGTAGCAATACGACAAGGGCATTATAGTGGCCATACTATTAATAAATTTTGTTTACCTTTGCAAGCGCAGATCTTAGCAGCTACGGTGTTAAGCTCAAACTCTGCTGAATAAGAAACTGAAGATCGACGAGGGTGAAGGAAACAGCCGCACAAAATTGAGCGAAATTTCCTTGATTTAAACTGAGCAATGTATTTTTCACGTGTAAAGCATGTTATAATGTTCATCTCTGGTTCAATCACTTCGCTTGACTGTTGGTAAATTGCGCATGGTGTTACTGAAATAGTCCGCCATATTGCAATAGCTAACAATTTCCGATAATCACCCGACTCGGAAACTCGTCACTAGTGCTCCTCGGGAGTACCTCTACCGTGGTTGTAGGATTCTCGAATTCTCGCACTTGTTAGCTGTACCGTTGCACTTATGTCCTCTCATTGCAGATATGTCCTCTGACGTAATGTGATAGAGTGGCCAATCATATCCTGTGATCTATCGAGCGACACGCGGCTTGGGACTGGTTAAGAGACTCCGTTGTAGTTATGTCTTCAAGCAAAAGTACTTATTCGAGGGGGTCGGGATAAGTGGAAAATTTGACCAGTATTTTCCGGTATCTGATCTCAGGAAAACATGTTGTTCGCATGATCACTGCGAACCGGATCATTGGCCTCTCACATTATTTTCTTTGAAGTTCTATCGTTCCTTCGTTAGCGCCGTGTGATCGCATGGAAGAATAACTTGCTACGTAAATAACAAAGCGACTTTCGACCAAAAGATGCGTTATTGTTCACGCTTTATCGCAGTCTTGCTTTATTAACTGTCCTCATTGTTCGACTTGCGACTCCATTGACAACATTTTACACACAAGCTAAGACAAAAGCACAATGTGGCGTCATATCACAATTGTTTTATTTTGTTTAATAGTTGAAGATCATAGATTATGGTTCGTCGGCATGAAATTATATCTTTTTGACGCTTCGCTGATCTGCTGGAGGTGAGATCGACTGAGAGGTCAAAGTTGTGATAATTTGTCTGCGTCGCGTCACGAAGTCTTCCTTAAATCACAGAAGTTTGGCCTTTGGTTGTTTATTTTAAATATTGTAGGTTTTTGCTGTATCGCACTAAGCCCTCCGTAAAAATTTGAAGTAGTAGATTGTGATGTGATTTTATTGCGGTCCCGCTGATTTTAGCTGTTCTTTTTTTAGTACTGTTTCTAGATCATTGTTGGATTTATTGCACGTTTGGGTGGATTTGTCATAATTTACCCCGTTAATGACAAATTCTCACAATGATCCAATCGAAAATCGGGGTAAAGTTGGCTATGGCAAGTCAGTAGGATATATTCCACCTAAAGAATGAATTTCACAGAATTTACCCCGTTTTTCTAGAATTCGCTGATCAAATGGAAAATCTGAGTAAAGATGGCACATGGGAACTTAGCGTGTTGGCCACTTGCGGATGAATTCGTAGAATTTATCCCGTTTTTCTAGAATTCGTTGAAAAAAATGGAAAATCAGGTTAAAGATTGGATATGGTAACTTGGGATCCTTTTTATCCTTTTATCCTTTTAAAATCGGGGTACAGATTTTTTTTTTAAATCTGACTGTCACAATATTTTTATTTATTTTTTATTTATTTTTTAATTTATTTTTTAATACAAAAACAGCTATATTACTTATATCACGGCTACAGAAAATAACTTACAGTACAGTTACATCTATAGCTACATTACTTACGTTTTTTGTTTTTTACAAATACGTACGTTACAGTGCAATACAATATTTAAAACAATACTGGTTGAAGAGCGACCAAACAAATAACTATATATTAAAAGAAAAGAAAAGAAAAAAACAAAAAAGCGTTTACAGCCAGAGTGCACTACTCACAATTTATAGAAAAGAAGATAGTTTAAAAGAAAACAAAAAAGTGCAGGAAAAAAGGATACAAACATCAAATTACATGTAAATAGAATTAAAGAAAACACTAAATGCGTGTTGTGCTTGTTTTAAGCATGGTTTTTCTTTATAATAATGATTTATGCATTATAATGTGAGAAGAAGAGAGGGAAGTTTTTATTTCCGGAGAGATGTTGCGCGTTCTGCATATCCATACAAAATATCTAGCGACCAAAAAAAGGAAGTTTAGTTTCTTGTTTTTGTGTGGCTTAAGCCCTAGTTCTATAAATGGCGATGGATTGAAAATTTCCGCGATTGTTTAAGACCTTGCCAGAAACGGTTGGATATATCACAAGTCCAAAATAGGTGGATGAGAGTCTCTTTATCACTTTTACAAAAAGTGCATTGCTAATTGTCCCTGAGGAGTATTTCTGAAGTAAAGGCCTTAAAAAGGTAAAGGTTTTTTATAGTTTTTAACAGATCTTGTTTATTAAGGTTGGTACGAAAAAATTCGACACCACCTAGATTTTGTAATTCATAGTCAAACAAAAGTTTCCATTTTCCTTGATTTTCCGGATTTAGATATTTTTTTACCCAACTTGATTTAAGAGCTTTGTTGAAAATTTTGATATCAATCATCCTTAACCCTCCGTTCTCGTAGTCGTTGATCATTATGTCGTGCTTTACTTTGTCTCCCTTGCCATCCCATACAAAATTGAAGAACATATTATTTATTTCTGTTAGAGCGCTGTGGTTGGACGGCAGAGGGGACAGGATGTAAACCAGTTGAGAAGCAATAAGGCTTTTTAAAACTGTAATTTTTCCTAATAAGGTTAAACGGCGCAGTTCCCAGCAGTTTAAGCTGTTTCTGATTTTGGTTAGTTTTTCGTTGTAATTAGCTTCTATAGTGGTTTTGGGGTTGGTGGAGAGTCATACGCCTAGAGCCTTAACCTTATCTTTTACCTATTTAAAATCTTTGTCGGGTCTGAGATGTGTTTCGTTTCGAATATTCGCACCGATCCACAAAGCTTCAGTTTTCTTGCTATTCAATCGGACTAGAAATCTCGCTGAAAAAGTCTAACATTTGTAAGGAGGTTGTTAGAGAGGCGGGCGATCGATCTAAAATAAGGGTAGTATCATCCGCGTATTGACTGATTTTTACTTCTTGTTCGTTTATTTTTATGCCCTTAATGTTTTTATTTTGCCGTATTGTTTCGGCTAGTATTTCTACACAGAGAATAAAGAGATACGGAGAGAGAGGGCAGCCTTGCCTTACCCCCCTTTCAAGTTTGAAGAAGTTGCTAGACCAACCGTTGTTAAGAATGCAGCTTTCTGTGTTATGGTAAAAGGGCTTCCAGTTGATAGCAGATTGCCCAAAATTGTAACACTGTAAAGTTTTTGGAAGAAAAGACCATTCTACCGTGTCGAAGGCCTTTTCAAAGTCTAGAAAAAGTAGAAGTCCTGGAATGAATCACAAATCGGGGTAAAGATAGCGTATGGGTACTTCGGCTATTATCCACTTGTAGTATAAATGCTCAGAATTTACCTCGTTTTTCTAAAATTCACCGATCAAATGGAAAATCGGGGTGAATATGGCAAAGAGAGTTTTTATAAAAATCAAGAGCTTTATAAATTGTTGGTCATTTCCTTTATTCTCATGAACTCAATGTTTGATTCAGGGGTGATATTGTAAGGAGAAATTAGAAGCTGGTCACTTTTAGGGGTTAAAGGGTTAAGATTTTTTCCTTCCATGATGGGTAAAACAGATCCTATTTAATGGTTCAGAGATGACCTTTCTACAAGTAACTGGAATTGAGGCAATGGAAGATATTACTGCATGCTCAGTATATTGTTGCACAAAAGTATTTAAAAGTTTCCTGTTTCTGAATTTCAGTAGTGGATAACTGTTGTATTCCAGCACTGTTATTTTCCAGCCCTCTCAGCTGTTCTCAGTTTCTCAGCAGGAGTTAACTATTGTATTCCAGCACTGTTAATTTCCAGCCCCACACAGCTGTTCTCAGTTTATCAGCAGGATTTACTGTTGTATTCCAGCACTGTTAATTTCCAGCTCCACACAGTTGTTCTGAGATTACTAGCAAGGAATAAATATTCTTTTCCAGTACTTACTTGTATTTTCAGTTGCATACTATTCTTCCCACATTTCTTAATAAATGAACCTATATTTAGGGGACACCTCTATAACACAGACACTAGGGAAGGTTCTCAGAGGGGTTACCTTTGATACTTTTACAACTACAAAAGTAATAGCTTTCACTGCATTTTAAATTTTTTAAATACTGTTAACTTCTTCAATTATCACACAACACCTGTGCAAAGCATGTCAATTACAAATAACAAATATGGAGAGTTGCAAATTACTTCAATACTTTATAGTGCAAGCAATGTATTCCTTACCGTCATTTTTCAGTGTTTTCTTTCCATTTACAGACTCAAGTGGCTGTTATGAAAAGACAAATTCAAACAATTTTACCTCACTTCTTAAAGCAAGAAGTCACAAGACTAAATAACAAGTGTAGAAACTTAGACATACTTAGGCTAAAAATCTGATTCAAAAATAAAAAAATGACCCCCCTGCAAAAAAAAATTGTACCACTGTCTTTGATACCATCCTGTCACTCTCCTATTTTTTTTTCACTTTTCTTTACTTCTAATTTGTAAACACATATAATGCTTCTTCTCAATGGGAAGTGTCTTCAAGAAAACCCAAATAACGAAACAGTATTGGCAAGAAAGATAGCCAAATGAACAGTAGTATCGAATTAGAGCTTGGAGCAATTAAACGACATGAATGGCTGCTACACCCCATTCTTTTTTCCCAGGTCTACATGAACTAGATTTTGAGCACAGAATGCAATACCTCACCAAACATCTGCTATGATGACTCACTTAAAAGTGTGCATGATTATCACCTCTTGCTGAGATAGCACACTTCACTTCAATGTTTTTATTACTACACATATGGGGGCTTTGGTAAGATTGTGGAAAGGAGGGACAACGTTTGAGCAGCTGGGAGGGACCAAAATGACAGTGTGACAGCCATTTATTCCCACTTGGATGGGAAAGTCTGGGGAAGCTTCCCCCGGAAATTTAAAAGTTCAGATGTCCAAAAGGGTCCATTTTAGGCCACTATTTCCCAAGTTGGCTAAAAATTATAGCTGCTACGAGGGTGAGTATTGACACTGAATTAATGAATAGAGTACCTTTTATGTAACTAACTATATAAACATTACACATAGCAATGTTGTCTCTGTGATGATGTCTGTGTGGTCTTGTTTGATTTTTACTTTTGCCTTGCTCAAAAAATGAGATTGCGCTGAGGACGACATTAGATTTTGGGGTACAGTGCTGTGATTTCTAACACAGTATCTTTAATGCAATTACTGATGGCAAAGGAGTTAATTAGTACTTCAATGATAAATGTAGAGCATGGCAATTAATGAAACGATCAATGTCTAATCATGAACTAGCTCTTTGTCAGTGACAAGTTCACAAAATTAATATTGGTGAAGGTTACTTCATACAACAATTACTGTAAACCACCATACCAAAAAACATGGTGACTGGTACATTCAACCAGAACTCTTTGTGCAAGAAAATACTGGAACCACTCATAAAAACAAGCAGTAAAGGTCTGAAAAATTTAAACCTTGCATACATAATGTTGTTGTTTTGTGAAATATTGCTTTCTACAAGTGCCTTAGCCTAAGAGTACTAGTAAAATGCACAGGTGCCATATTTGTCTGTGAGTGGATTGAATCTATTGGGTGAACACCAGAAAAAATAGTAATATTGATAGAAATAGGCTGAGGGTTTAGTATAGGTATACTGTGGTTTAGTATAGGTATGCTGTGGTTTAGTTTTATCCTTAGTTTAATTCTTTTACTTTTAATAGAGGCCAAATTGATAGTGACACATCATCTCATCATAACTTAGGCTAGGAGCTAAATTTTATCTTTCTTTACACAAAATGCATTTTTCATTCATATCATTAACATTAAACCAAAGGAAAATGATGTTTATACCAAGGACAAAAATTAAGCACAACATATACCTTTTTATAACTAGTGCATAATTCGCCAAGAAAATGTTTAGAATAGAGCTTACCACCTCGTCAGCACTTTTGTTTTCTTTGCTTTGCTGCTGGTTCTAATCCATGCCTGTATGAATGACATTAAGTAAGGGTGAAAGGATTGGTATTTTCTAAGCAAAGATAGTTGCAGAGAGTTTCTCCACTAATATACAGATCGCCAAATGCTCACAATGAATGCCAACAAGACCAAGTTCTTGCTAACACATGTAGGAGCAATAATTGCTAATAGTAGGCAATAGTCTGTATTGAATTAAGTATTCATTTCTGCATGAATTAGTGTTTATTTCATTTTAATGTTTGTGACACATAGTTGAAAAAGTATGGATAATGTGGTAACATATAACATACATATTATTATCATATTCCTTATAATTTGGTACAAGGGACTTTACTCTAAATTGATCAAAATAAAGAAAGTGGCATATGTCAGCCACTGATTTAAATAGAAAAGCACTAATTATTAAGTGAAGAGTAATTTTGCTGCAATTCTGTCCCTTCTGGGTGAGCAAAGAGAATGATTTAATACATTGTAACCCAACTGTTACTTGTTGGAGAGCATTGGGAGACAGCACCCTATCCTTTATGAAAGAGACCAGATCTTCATCATACGAGTTAGCAGTTTGTGAGTTAACCTCCCAGGATATGTGATATTTGACATCAACCATACCAGAGGTTGAATTTTTGCGTAGTCCCATACATTTACAATGAATACATGTCTTCCACTGTATCCATAATAGCCATCATTGTAGGCACAATGAGATGGAGAAAATCCCGTTTTTCAATTATTTAACATCTAGTTTTACATGTCCCACGCAAAATAAAAAAATCAGCCCTCGACACTGAAGGATTCAATGAATCCAAGTTAGTAGTTACTCGCACGCTTCGCCATGCTGTCACATGAAATCTACAGTATTAAGCCCAAAACTTGAACGTGATCTTTGAAGAATGGTTGTAATATTTAAATTTAACAAAATACTAGCATAAAATGCAACCGAAACCTTACCTTCCTTTACTAGTTCCAACAAAAAAGCACAACTTCGATCACTAGCGCACTCCAAACCAATAAAGGAAGCTACGAGGCAATGTCAAATTCTCGTCTTCCTAACCTTTCCAAAGTATCGAAGAAAATTTCACTGATACTTCGCCCTTAAAAACGCAACAAGAATATTAATCTTTCAACAATCCGAAGTGTCCCAAAAGGCATCAAGGATAAGCCCATGAAACAAGAATAGCCCATGAAATTCTCAAACTTCGAGCGCGGAAAACTTAACGATAGTCTCACAATTTTGCATTGCATCCCTCCCCTAGTTGGGAAGTGACACGCAGAAGACACGATCACAACGCACTTTGATTGGAAGAAGTAAAACCGCATTCTATTGGTTATTAGGTGTGAGGACATAACTACAACGGAAGACACAACTGCAACGCTACACGCGCCCACACGTGTTATTGTGGCGGCGTCTGTTTGAAATGTTTATTGATCTATTGTTTTGATTGCATTCTTTGTTCTTTGTCTTCTAGTTTATGCATAGCGTGTCTTCCCAGTTCCGGCTTCCGCTTCCATGGTTATCTTCCTAACAACCTTTTGTTTACACCTCTGCTTTCATTTCAGTTCCTTACTACGGGGAAAAAGGTAGGTACTGACTTCCTTACTTTTGTAGGCTCAAACGCCCTTTTAAATGGCGATTCTTTAGAACGAGCTCTATCAGATCCGTTTCGCGAATACCAATTCTCGTTTTACTATTCTACTATTCTAATACTATTCTTGTTTTGACGGTCTATTTAACTCATTTTCAAAGAGTGCATTATCAATTGCCTCTCGGTTCTGTTCCAACATTTTTTCAGATTCTATTTGCTAGATGATATAATATGATGGACAATGTTTCCTTTTAAGAGTTGACAATGAACATGTAATAGCTTTGGATCCCGAGTGAAATTTCATAAACATTTTCCCTCTTGAGCATGTACCTCCTCAAGTTCCGCCACTGACCGGATGAAACTGAGTTCAATGATACTAAGATCTCATGATTTAAGCGATGGGCTTAAGAAATCTTGGCTCATTTGATGAAAATGTTTGCTTATGTATATCAATTTGTGATTTAATCTTCTTAACATGCCATGGCAGATTTACAATTCATCTGGACCGAAACTCTCGTCGCTTAAAATTTAATTTGACCTTTCGTTCAGTATTTTTTACTCAATTTCCTGGTAAAATTTACTTACGCATCTTTGAGTCGAGATCATAAACAAATATCCGTGAGTCCAACCGCAGATGCTGCTTAATAATCGTCTTTATAATTATGAGGGTGACAGTATTGAGTGTTCAAAAGCAATTGATGCAAAAGATGTAATCATTTCTAACCCAACTTTGATTTGAGTTAGAGAGTGTTACGGCGTTCCAAACCAGGCGCAAAGTATTCTTTTTCGCTCTCAGTTATCTAAGTGATTGGCAAAGAAAGCCCTCGCACACAATTAACTTCAAAAGCAAGCTGTTCAGGCATTATGTTAAATAAAGGAATAAATTACCACCTGTGGAGGAAAATTATTCCTTTGCGGTTACACGGTGTTATTTATGGCCCGAGTAGGTATACACGATAATCGAGCGTTCGCTCATTAAGATATAAGAAGGAACCATTCTAATAGTTGGTATCTCTGATAGATGAGCTGTTTTGGAAGGCGTCAGAACGGGAACCGCGTAGGTAATGCAGAGGTATGTGTTCTTAATTCTTTTCTTTCCTTAAGCAGGCTCGATATTTTTTCAGTATCTGCAGAATTTTGTATTCCACATCAATGAAAACAGACACAACCTACTCTTTTATTTGTTTTGGTTCTTTGTTTGCTTTATTTGTTTGTTTGTTTGTTTAATCATTACTTTTTCGAACCTTCTTTTTGCTTTTACGCTTCTGCGGGGTTGTTATGTAAACAAATTTATTCTTGATTTTTTAGGTGTTTTTGAAACCCGCAAAAATCCAGAAAAATAACATTCACCAACTCTGGAGCCCTGTCAGCCAGAGCAATACTGGGCTTTTAGAGAGGGTTCCAAACAATGACAAAGTAGCCTGCGGTGGAAGTTTTAGCAGGGAGGGGGGGAGGGGGGTAGTAAATAATTCTGTTTATTTAAAGAGTAACGTGAGCCGTAATTCAGGCCAGAAGTCCATGACACAAAAAGCGTAGCAATGTAACTGTATGCATCTTTGACATTTCTTGCCACATCCCTCTTATCTGATGATAATCATATTAATTGATATTTACTCCAGAAATACCAAATACCAAAGAAATACTAATTTTGGGGGTTTTGAGAAACCTTGTCTAGAGTTTTGCATATTTAGCTTGAAAATGGTCATTTTGATACTCAGAGCTCTCTTCTAGGGGGATAAATATGATGGGCATGTGCAATAGCATTGACGGCAATCATTCAAATAATTATGTTATGTTGTGTTTTGTTGTGCTCAGTTCGGCTCTGTTAAGTTTTTTTGAGTTGTAATGTTGTTTTGCTGTGTTGTATACTGTCGTGTTGAGTCGAGCTGAGTTAATTTGTTATATTCCTACTGTCGTGTTGTTGTGTTCAGCTGTGTTGTTTTCTTTCGTATAGTGTTGATTTTCTGTTCTGTTTTGTTGCTACATTTTATTGAATTTTTTTTAGTCGCATCAATCTCTTATTTCCACCCCCCCCCCTCACCCTCACAAAGACAAAGTCTCTCGCAAACATCAATAAATTATCACGTTCAGTGGAAAATTGTAAAATTTATTATTTAAAAGAAAAATGGTCACTGAATCGTACATTAAGATCTTAATTGTGCAAGCTAATTTCCTTCATTGTTTTTTTGCTTGTTTTACTCTTTTTTTTTGACCTCAGTGAAAGAAGGAACCTATGGAATTGTGAATGGAATTGTGAACGGTTTGCCCATAATGGTTTAAATCACCTATGTGCAACTGATTTTCGTCAGATGTTAGCCTTATTCAAGGAAGGCTTCAGAAATTTTAGTGCCAGCTACAAGGATATGATTCAGTAAATAAAAAAAAAATACCAGAAAGATCATAGTTAAGTGCTTTATTGATCATAAAATATGAAGAGATTTTATAAATTAGGTGCGTTTTATCTGCATAAGTACCTGAATGCTTTGCTTATTCCTTTTCAATCGCCAGATAAAATATTGTAATCCCAGAACCCAGAACATTCGCCTGGTTCTGCGAACAGTTTTTATGTTTAAATTGATGACAGACTTCAGATTTTAGATTCAAACTCTGTTTAATCCGTTCATTGTCCAAATGTTCTCATGGCATATACACTTAGAAAAGGGAATAACGATAATAGCTTTCTTTTTTACATGTTTTTAAAGTAACATTCATGAAAAATTTTCAACCCCCAAAAATTTATTATTTGGGTACTTCAGTCCTTTTTCTGCAACACTGAGAGCAAAAAGTATTGTGGTTATTGCTGGAGCACTAAAGAAGCAGGCGTTAGAAATACAAAGGTTGAATAGGAACAGTGTTTTGTTCCAGTAAGAGCAATTTGCGTTTATGTTAAAATTAGGATTCATTTGAAATCAAGACTCCTCCCTCTACTCTCGCATTCTCCCTCGTACTCTACAGACTCACAAAATCTTGTTTCCGCCTAGGTTCAAATACATTGATTTCCCTCTTTTCAACAACTTGTTTTCGTTTTTTGTTTGTTTGTTTGTTTGTTTGGTCTGTTTTTTCTTGTTTTTGTTTCCCTTTTTGGGGGAGAAGAGGGAGGGCGTTGACGGTTGAGGGCTTATTTTATTTTGTTGTTGTTGTTTTTTTATTTGGTATCTTTTTATGTTTTAATCTTTTTTTAATCCTGGCACTCGTTTGAAGCGATATAGCGGTGTTTCCGTGATCAAGCGTTTAACTAAGAAAAAAATAAAAGTAAAATAAAAATACATATAGGTTGATTCTTAAAAAAACAGCCAAGTGCTCCTTCCAACACATCATCTACAAGGAATGCTAATCCGTCTCAGGTTTTCCCTTTCATTTCGTGGTTCTCTGAAAGGAAAGAAGAACCTGGAGAGTTTACTATAAGAATATAAGAAGGTCTGAGGTTGAATTCCTTATGGAGACCATCTCTCTCTCTCAACTCGATTTTGCTCTACTGTTCTAATGTAATCTTTAAATTTATAGACTCCAAGAATGGTCAACATCCATGTGACATACAATGATACAAAGAGAATCGTTTCCTATCAGAAAGGGGGAGATGTTCAGGGACTCATCTCTGAGATCTTGCAACGATTCTCCGACGTTTTACCTGCCAATGTTACTTCAGAACAAGTAAAGCTACACCGGTATGATAAAACATTTGAAGATCTCACAGAATTAGAAAATGAATTCAAGTTTGATGATGACCACAAAGTTACCGTGCTCATTAAGGAGGTACAGGTGCGTTGTGCGTTGTGCGTTGTTTCTGATTCTTATAGCCTTTAGTGTTATTGTTTATAAATTAATTAGAAAACTAATTAATCCGTGGAACTTCGATCATAATCTCTAGAGCTCGAATACTGGTGATTTGAGATTTAGCGCGTTAAGGCTTTAACATGGGTTCAGAAGGTTTCGCCTTATAGCAAGTTCGCTCTCTACAAAGACAAGTTTCACAGCAAATCCATGACAAAGCTCCATGGACAAACAAATTCTTTACCATGTTGAGCAATGACAACATGCACATCTTGTGTTTTAATCCTGGCACTTGTTTGAAGTAGAGTGTTTCACAGCGATGTAAAGCGTTTCCGTGATTAAGCGTTTGATTAAGAAAAAAGTAAAAGTAAAATAGAAATACCTGTAGGTTGATTCTTAAAAAACAGCCAAGTTCTCCTTTACTACATAAGCCTAGAACATATCATCTAGATGGAATGCTAGGGGTTTAGGCAGTGAACTAGCAGTTGCTTAAGCATTTTTAAGACACTTAGTTTAATGAGTTTTGTATTGTTTGTATTGCTTTGTTTGGTTTAGGTCTGTTTTGTTTCGTTTTTAGTTTTGTTTAGTTTAGTTCAATTTTGTTTAGCTTACTTAGTTTTTTTTTAATTTGTTTTGTTTTGTTTAGTTTTGTTTCCTTTCCTTTACTTTCTTTTCCTTTTGTTTCTTTTCGTTTCCTTTCCTTCCGTTTCTGTTTTGTTTTGTTTCGTTCGTTTTCCCCTACATTAAGCCAAGTCAGTCACATCTTTATGATAGAATGCAGTTTAAACATCAAAGCAATCCGAAAGGCATGGTAAGA